GGTCATTAATACTTTAACTTTAGTTAAGGATATCCGATCCTCAGCCAGGAAGGATAACTCCAAAAATTAATATTTAATTTGAAATGCATCTAAATGAAGCTTGAAAATGAAATTTTTTCATGCAACAATTTTCATTTTATTCATCTTTTCAAGTTTCAAGGGTTTTGAAAGTCTTAGAAAATGTCTTATAAAAGTTGACATTTGTGCCCTATAAAAGGAAAAAGAATTAATACAGTTTTAGAGAAATAAGATTTTCTTGACTCCAGCCTTAGATACCAATGCTTATTAGCATCATATGAAATAAAAAGTGATTTGTGGTGTCTTGCAATGATAACAAAAGCCTTTTACACTATGTATCATAGAATACATGACGGAAATAGAAGACAACAAATACCAAAATCAGAATAAAAATCATGACAATTTCTCTGAATGCCTGGATACCTATCGTTTTCTAACCTAAAATATATTTGTTGATCAATTTGCAATTAGAAAATGCATTGCTAATATTCCAGTTCTCTTTTTCTGCAAAAATTTGGGAGATTTGGCAATTTTTCCTATATAATATGATTAAGTTTAATCTTTAATTTGAAAGAAATATTGTGGATAAATTTACATAACTTTGTGGATTTAGAGATACTTTTATGAGTATTTTTGATTACTCAACTGCTAATTTTATAAACCTGAGGATCGGACTACCTTAAAAGTGAAGAAAAAAACTTCAGAGATCACTTGATTTTTCAAACATTTTTTTAAAATAGTGTAATGACCAAGGAGACGTTTCCTTTGTAGATTCCAATATATTGTTCTTTTGATAACCAACAAAGGAAACACGGAACATACTTGTCGTAAAAACAAGTGTACACTACTGTACTTAAATAACCTTTTCGATTGTGGATCTAGCCGATCAAAGATCTAATTTTCATTAAATTGAAATATACAAATACAAATACTTTATTGGCACAAACACAATTACAATAATTGGCAAAGGCCCACTGAACATCATTAAATGTTTACATATTTTTTAAAAATTGTCAAATAATTGACCTCTAAGTTCAAAACAGTCTCTGATAAATTTAACAGTAACTTTCAAGACTTTTTGTATATTACTGTTTACATATAATTGTAACATATATTTCTCATTGCTAAAATTACTATTTTTCTTTGTTATGTTATAAATATTACTAAAGAATGTGTTTCTTAGCTTAGAGTAAGAATTACATTGAAAAAGAAAATGTATTTCATCCTCAATCACACCAGTATTACAAACATTACAATATCTTTCATTTCTTGATGTGGAAATATATCTACCACTTTCTAGTGCAAGTTTATGTGCGCTTAGTCTAATTCTACTAAGAGAGGATCTCTCAGATCTTTTTTTGAGTAAATCTACATAAGGACTTCTTTTTCCTGAGTATACTTTCTTGAAGAAATCAAGTTTTTCTGAACCAAAGATTTTTGACGTTTGCTCCTGAGTGCACTGATCAATGATTCTTTGTTTAATGTTTGGTAAAAGGTGTTGGATGGAACCTGTATATTTTGTAGTGTTTGAGAATCCAAGAATATCTAGAATAGAAAATAATTTCTTAGTCCAAGAATTACAGTTACTTGTGGATTGGTAAAGTTTAAAGGCCAAAGAATCAGAAGTTTTCAGGTGATTCCAATATTTGATACTAGAGGGGGAAATTTTGGACCAAAGTGGTAGTCTTTTAAGTTCCGCTAAACAACCAGCATTGGGTGTTTTGCAGTGCACTCCAAGGATGTCTTGAATAAATTTTAAGTGAAAATTTTCAATATTTGAAATATCTTTGGATGAGAGATCCACTCCCCATATTTCACTACAATAGAGAAGAACTGGAAGTACAATAGCATCAAAGAGTTTTTCTAAAAGTTTACATGGGTTATCAAATCCAATAATTCTTTTCATTTTAAAACATGCTTTTCTAGCCTTTTCAATAAGCACAGCTGTTGCTAAATTAAACTTCCTATTACATTTCATCATAATACCTAAATAACAGTATCTTGGTACAATTTGTATTGCATTACCATTAAAACTAAATTCATTTCCTTGAGGCTTGCCATTTGAGTTAAATATCATAACTTTAGATTTATCTACATTAACTTGAAGTTTCCAATTTGAGCAATAGTTACTGAGAATATCAAGACTGGTTTGTAAACCGCTTTTGCTTTCTGAGAATATTACAATATCATCAGCATATAACAGGCAATTTACATGAATATTGTTTACTTGCACAGGATCACATTTTCCATTTTTTAAGTCATGGACAATACCATCAATAAAAACATTAAAAAGTGTGGGGCTTAAGACATCCCCTTGTTTGACACCACATTCAGAATTGAATACATCACTTAATCCATCAGAAAATTTGATTCTACTCATTGTATTACTATACATGGAAAATAAAATATTGAACATTTTTTGGGAAATATTACATTCAAGAAGTTTATAGAATAAACCTAATCTCCATACAGTGTCAAATGCCTTTCTAAGATCAATAAAAGCAGCATAGACCTTTTTGTTTTTGTAGTGATCAATTATTGTTTTTATTGAGAACAAATGGTCTGATGTTCTACAGTTTTCCTTGAAACCAATTTGATTTTCACTTATCAGTGATGTAGAGTTTACAAATTCAAGTAGCCTAGTATGGATTATTCTGTTGAAAAGTTTTCCTAGATTTGAAGTAATTGATATACCTCGGTAGTTGTTAGGATCAAGCCTATTACCCGACTTATACAGTAATACTAAACAGCTCTCATTCCAACTTTTTGGGAATACACCAGAATTAAGTATAAAGTTAAATAATTTTTCATGAGGTTTCAGCATTACAGATCCCCCACTTTTTAACATTTCATTTGATATCATATCCATGGAAGAACTCTTTCCATACATACTCTATACATATAAACCTCTAACAAACATTTCAATCAATGTACCACTGTGCACGGCAAAAGTTGTATCAGGTTTCAAAAATTTAAGTTAAACCAAGTTCATAATAAATTCAAATTACTAGTATGTAATTTTGACGATTGAAATTTACGAGAAAAAAAATCATATCAATTTAACAAATATAATTGAAACCAAACTCGTTATTTTTTCAATTACATAAATCAAACTTTTTAAACGAGCCTAGATATGTTTAATTTTTATGTCGCTTGCGTGGCCCAGTGGTTAAAGCGCCTGCCCTAGTCACGAAGTAAGGAGTTGAATCCCACTGTGGGACGCGGAGACCTATAAAGTATAAACAGAGGTCCCGTGTCGCAGAAGGTGTTGACAGGAAGATCCCTCACTGCTCAATGTCCTTGAGTGCCGAGTATAGGGCAAAATTTGTAGGAAAATTTTTAAAGAATTGTATACAAATCACTTACCCTTTATTCCATTGACGTGGTCAGAAGGACACGAAGGAGCGTAAAATCATATTACATTGGCGTCGGAAGCAAATTGAAAGTGGGGGGGCTAAGTGTAAAAAAATTTTTTTTTTACCCCAAAAAAACCTGACAAGCAAAAAAAAAAAAAAAAAAAAAAGGGAAATGTCTATTTCCCAAACACGAAAATCCTATTTCGTGGGGGGGGGGGGGGGGTTACGTTCGAACTTCAGTACCAAAAATTTTTTCCAAACACCACCACTTTCCCCATTTTTAACCTAAACTAAGACGTATCAGTGGAAAGTGGGGGGGCTAAACTTACGAAGATATGTTCAATGTCTATACTAAGTATATATCTGGAAAAAAAGTGGGGGGGGGGGCTGAGCCCCCCTAGCCCCCCCGGTTCCGACGCCTATTATAAAGTCCAAATGCATCTTTGAAACCAAACACTTAATGTTTCAATCACGCGAACCAGTCCGACTGATTCCTAAGCTGACTTACATATGAATGATTTTTGAAAACTATGGTACAAGTCACTTACCCCATATCACACTGTTGATTATGTGTAGATACCCGCGATGGGCGTGGTCATAATGACAACTCGGGAGCTACGCTCACTCGTGTCATTATGACCACGCCCATCGGGTATCTACACATAACCAACAGTATGATATGGGGTAACTACTACAAAGAAAGCATGTCTAGTGAAGTATAAAAGGCCTAGCATCAACTGTTCAAAAGTTATGGCCAAGATTAAAGTTTTTTTTGTTTTGAAGTTAACTTTTTTTTTTGGTTGTAAAATAGAGTCAAACTCCAATTAAGGTCAAGTGGTCATATTTGGTGGAAAATGTACCCATACAAAGAAAGGTCTTGTCACAAGGAATACGCCTGTGAAATGTACTAAAAATACCAATGACACGAACAATAAATCCTTAGATTCAATGACGCTTCTTTATATATTGCTACGTTAAAAAATGGCCGTAATTTTATTGTTATATTTTATATATCATCATGATTCATAGACCCATAAACTTGCAATATCTATCTGAACGGCAAATATGAAAAAAATCTTGGATATATATATTTTTACTGTTTGTCACACTATAGTACAACTAAAGAAATGAACTGGATTGAAAGCAGCTAGATTCCCGATATTTTGCTGGGGAAAGTTATGAGGCCCATGAGTAAATCGTCCATCTTTATTTATCATAATTAATACATGTATATACATGTACATGTAAAAATAATTATGCAAACAATTGTGAACATCTCAGTTTATACTATTTTTCAAATGTCATAAGTATAACATCAAGAAAAAAACCGTTTGATTATAATAGATTACAGTACAGGTTGATATGTTCAGAATAAAGTGTATAATTTACACCTTGAAGTGTATAATTTACACCTTTAAGTGTATAATTTACACTTTAAAGTGTAACATTTACAGACTAAAGTGTAAAAATTACAGATTAAAGTGTAAAATTTACAGATTAAACTTAAAGTGTAGAAATTTAAAAATAAATAAATAAAGTGTCCAAGTGGCACTACAAATGTAATACGCTTCCATAATTTTCAATACTTCAATGCTTTTTTTTTATTCAGTCGGGATCGGGATGACATTAAATATTGCATTATCTATTTTTCGAGGGAAAACATTTTTTTATGGGAGAAAAAAAATACTGCCTGCCCAGTTGGACGGCCTCAATCGAATGCCACCATGGACATAGATGAAAAACATACAAAGATAATTCGCGATGGACTTAAAATTGTTAAGAAGAATTGTATGAAATTTGTCTTGTTGAAGATTGAAAACTGCAATGCAACCTATAGCAATGATTTTTCAGAGGCTCAAGTGAAGTACAGTTTATTTAAAAAACCTGTTGATAAATATGAGAGAGTGTTGAGTTTTCGCTTTACAGATTTGTTTAGTGACGGAATTAAGGTGATAAGTGATTTTGTAAATGATTGTGGAAATTTTGAACAACTTCAACTCCATGAAAAGACTGCAGTCCAGCGGTTCAGTGATTTCTTCAAATATGTCGGTGGGTACGATTGCATGAGTATTGAGTAGGTGTGAAAGGTTGATCTTACCATGTACATGTATTTGGTTGGTATCATCGGTAAAAGACAGTATAAGCATTCAAAAGACTGCATATTTCTGCCAGGAAAAACACTATATTCAGCTAAAGAGCTTAATTTACCTATAGATAGTTTTCGATTGACCAAGAGTTACTTCCCGTTGGCCGCCATACTGGAGGTCCAAATGCTCATATTCCTTCATTGTTCAACCAATTAAAAATTTTTATATTTGCTATTTTGAATTAGAAATCATTATTTTTCTGAAGTATATAAATTTTTGGAAGCCTCCTTTATTTAAAAAAAATTATTTGATAAAGATTTTCCACCAAATATTCCTGCTATATTTTGTTAAACTTGGTAAGACAAAGAGGGAAAATCACTGAGTCGACCTCCAATATGGCGGCCAACGGGAGGTAACTCGCTAAATTCAGGCCTATCGAAAACTATCTATATAGCTTAATTTACCTATATAATTTAGCTTTATTTAGCTATTTTAGAATAAGTTTTTGTTTTATGAAAAGCAGACAAAAGTCGCATTATGAGGCAGAATTAGTTTTCAACTTTGAAATGGACTAAAAAACAATTCACCAAAAACCCACTTTTATGCAATTGCAATCAAAGATCTAAAAGTTTTGGGGCTATGTATAACAATTAATATGTGATTAAGCAGCTACTTTAACAAAGAAAAGCAGTTTTGGTCAACAAGATGATTGATAATAATTCAGCACAATGCACGGCCTCATCATGCCTCATCGCAGTTCGAGTGAGGGACAGCTATCCAAACAATAGAGAGGCATTTTTTAGTTAAAAGTGTTTAAAAGAGGCAATCTTTTTACTATCTATGTCCTAGGTTGTTTTTATCAAACCTTTTAAGGGGGCTGACTATAGTTTCCATTGCGCAATATTTCGCGCATCATAGTAAAATGAAGCCTATTTACTGTTTTAATGCAACTTTTTTCGCTTTATTATTAAAATTAAACAAAATTAGGAAAGTATAGGTATAAAAATGTTATTACAATGTGATATAACTGGTTATTTAACCGATTTTGCAATTGATAGGTAGGTTGACGTCGCTGCAGTGTCTTTTTGACGTTATGTTAATCTGTAGCTCTTAAAGAAAGGGTTAATAAAAATATTATTAAAGAAAAAAAATTAACTAACGCTCTTGAAATTTAAAACATAGAATTTTTAGAATATCTCCAATATTTTTATTGTTTTTTGTGAATCCATTGTTTACGTCATATTTTGTCGTACTCTATAAAAATAGTAAAATTTGCTCATTTTTTGCATTTTGAGATGCCCCCTCTGTTAACAAGACGGTAGAATTTTGTGTTTCGTACATATATTGTATAATATAGTATTACTCATGAAATATTATAGTTTGAACAAAATGTCTTTTGTAGTATTTGTATAATTTGCTTTAAAGTGCTAAAAATGGGCATTTTCCTTTATAATCCTATAGTAAATGTACCTGTATTTTGAGACGGTCCCTCAAAAATACCTGGATGGTAGATTTCCCCCAAACTTTGCGTGTACACTGAAGTTAATGTAAGTTATATATGGTATAAAAATGAAGAGTTTCGCTATTGTAGTTTTCACACAATAAAACTATAGTCGGCCCCCTTAAAAGAATATCAGCCATAATTTTCATGCGACTTTTTGTCTGCTTTTCATAAAACAGAAACTTTATTCTTATCTAAAATAGCTAAATAAAGCTATATTATATAGATAAATAAAGCTATATAGGTAAATTAAGCTCTATAGCTAAATACACCTTTAAAGCAGATTTAGTTCACAAATCTCATTAATAATTATTAACACTATCTTCTTACTTAAATACATGTATGATAACATAACGTTTCGATGTATTTGGTATCTTATGTCAAAGGTACATGTCCTACTATTTCTGATTTTCCTGGACCAGAAATAGTCTGAAATATCTGATGTTTTCCATTCTTTTGGTAGGTTTGCAATATTTTACATGCTATGAAACGTCAGCATTAGCGTCATAATGAAAACAGGATTTTTGACTTCTCCAATCTGAATTTATTTTCAATACTTGTGAACTGAATTAAATGCAAAAATCAGAATTTATCAATAGCACAATGCTTCAAGTACTCTGACACCATTGTTGATGAAAAGAAAACATCACTCCACATTTCGTTCAGCTTTTGCAAGATTTTAAAATGCACGAAATGTAGACAAATCTTGACACTCTGATATAATGTCTTAAATTATCAGATTGTATATTTTATAAATGAACCATAAAAACAATATTGGTTAAGTCCTAAAGTATTGTACTGTCAATGACTTGTGAGTTTGACATTTAATTCAGTTAGCAAGTATCTAAAATCAACCTGACAATGCTTCTTCAAAATTCCATTTTCATAATGGCACCAGCTGTGACATTTTCCTGGCACATAAAACATCAAATTGCCTAGTCCCTCTTTCCATCCATCTGCAAACGTTTATCATTTTACACTTCTCTTCATGTACTGACTTTACCAATTTCAACAAAACTAAATAAAACTTTCTGCAAAGTATCCTTGCATTCATTTATTAGTTGAAAATCTCTGCTCCTGGGTATTATCAACAAGTTAATGATGAGCAAAGTTGCCTTTTCGACAATTTTGAGATATAGTTGGCCTGGAGTCAGTGGGTCCTTTGATCTGCCTCTGGATATTAAGTTTTAAAGTAAGCTTGCTAATTGTATAGTAATGATTAGCAAGGGTACCACTTTCAAAATTGCTAATTTCTTGGCCTCTTGTTTAAAACAAAAACCAATTAATTTCAGTTGCTGGAATGTTGTTGCATGATACTTGGTTGACCTTTAAGGCCCATGGCCTCTTGTTTTTCATTGGTTATCATGCATTTGATCAAATAAGTAAGAACTGTCCTCCTGATGGCACCAGAAAACACTTTCATGATCAATTCCTGAATAAAATTCCAGGCTTAACAGTCTGAACAAATGTTGTCTTCAAGTTTACAGCATTATAAAATAATAATGGCTTGCTGTTACGAAGAAAACTAATTGAATTTTGCAGATATTGTATGATGTTGAGAAAATTTCACTCTTACTTACTATAATAGTTACAGTCCTTTTCCATTGCTTAATATTTAGGTTCACATGAGGAGAGTCTCAAAAGAGTGTTTGGAGAGAGCCAAGTCTCAGAGACAGACATGAAAATAGCTGTAGCTGAACATCTACTGGGAAAGATTTCAACAGGATGTACATGCATTATTGATATTAATAAATTAAAAGACAAGGGAAGATGTAAGTGTGGATGTGGAATGTTTCCATCGTTTGGATACACGGGGATTGGTATGTGTTTGTCCAGGCTTGATTTAAGCTACACTTGTCTTAGTTTGAAAGTGGACATTCTAATTCTATTTCAAATTGATATAGAATTATATCTTTTCCCCACTAGGTCATAAGGATGTGTGGCATGGGCATATTGATCTCATCTTGTCATCTCATCATGGACTACCTTCCTCTGATGTAGCTGTAAAAATGGTTGATATATGTGAAGATGATGTGCCTGCAGAGGAAGATGAAATTGAGGAAGAAATTCCAGGAAAAAGGAGAAAAAAAGAAGGTAGCAGAAATATAAAAACATATGACTAAGATAATAATCTTTTAACCCTTTGCCTTATTCATATGGGGAGCTTAAAAAGAATAATAATTTTTAAGCATAATCTAAAGGAATACATGTACTTATATACACAAGTACGATTTTTTTTTTTTGGTTTCGCTCCATTTTGCAGAGAATATGATTACAGACATTATACAGTGTATTGTTTGTAAATAAATAAATTCTTACCTGTGGTGTGATCTGATTTTTGCAGTTTTTAATTCAGAATAAGTTTGAAATAAAACAAGATATTTTAAAATTTTTGAAGACAAATCACTTGAGTTTATTGTTAAAATATTTTTACCAAAGAAACATGCTTGGTCATATTTATATTGAAGCATCCTTAGTTAGTGTAGATTCACTTTTGTTCAAATCATAACCCTCTGAAATTAGTTATAATTTGTATTCAACTTTAAATAATTTTGTTCCAAACACTTTTTTAAAAAGTTAATTAATAAAATATATATTTTAGAAGAAATATATTGTTTTTATAAGAAAACCGTTTATCTTAGCATTTATGAAAAGGGGAATAACTCAATTTTCTTCTTCAACTTTGAATAATAGAAAATTGAGTTATATACCTTTTCAGTATGTCACTAAAATTGATCAATGCGGCAGTTTTTGAACTGAGAAATTATTGATTAATTTTTTTTTCTAATATCAAGTTCATTTCATTGTCTACTATTTTAGGCAATTTAGAAGAAGCCAGGCATGCAAGAGAACAGACATTAGCACAAGCAATTGTCTTTTCCCTACTTCAAAAGCAGCAGCGACCTAATTTGAAACATTTTCTTATTCCAACGATTTTAATATCGCCAGAAAGAATGCAAATTGTGATGTATGATGCAGAATATGATGTGATGCTCTGCAGTAACCTTATGGACTTGTTTATTCCGGGTCCTGAAGGAGCGTGCCTGAGACCGGAGACAGTGATTATAATTTGGACGGTTCTCCATTATCGGATGTTCTGTCCAGGCCTACCCATTCAAACACGTTCAGTGCTTCATGCTTATAGATCACATTTCCAGGAACTTGCAGGGGAAAAATGGGACATATATTCCAAAAAATTAGAAAGTGAAGTTGCCGAATTTCCAGTGATTGATGAAGAGTGTGACTTTAATGACGTCTTTTTATATACCATGGATATCATTGATGATGAAAATTAATGTAAAGCTATAAAGTTAATACTGAATTGTGTTCATATTTCAATTTCCTTCAGCTTTTTTTAAGGAAATATACGGACTGCATGTGCATTTTTTTTCTTTCGTTAAACATGGCGGTTTAAAAGGTATGATTTTGATAAAAGCGTAATTTCACTTTTCCGAGCCAGTTAGTCATGTGATACATGTACAATTCAGGAAGTTGGCGATTGAAAAGCTTATACATATTCGTCAAAATTGTTTGTAAATCGAATGTAAAATCGTATCGCATGACCACCCAAACAAACATCAACTTATCTGAGCAAGATAAAAAATAAATCAGCAAGAAATATTTGGAACGTCATATACAGGGGCTCATTCCTGACTTGTAATATCGGATCCACGGGGTAAATGGGTAAACATGGGATAAATACAAGTACATGTAACTTTATATGTATTAGGCCTACCGGCAAACATATCTTATCATCATGTAGGGACCTAGATATGTATGTACATACTAAAATAACAGAATTTAAAAAGTATTAAGTACACTATTTTTTTAAAAATAATGTTCTTTTTGTCAATATGTAACTTTTATCAATTAATTACAAAAATAAATAAAATGGTAACACCAGTAACATGGCAACACCATTGAATTCATAAACATTTTAATTTGAAATAAATTAATAACATATTAAAATACAATACATGGAATTTCTCTCAAATTTAATTTTTGTCTCCAAATCTGGAAATGTAAAAGTATAATATATATATGTAAACAGTGGTTGTGTAGTGAAATAAATGACAACTCAGGTTTAAAAGTTCAGCAGATCATATTAATTTCAATTCATGTCCTGTAAAACCAATGTACAAAACCTCAGCAAGTATAATTATAATAATCAAGTGTTAATATTATAATACAAAACACATCATAAAATAGTCTCTCACTGATTATAATACGTATCTTAATGCATTAATATCGTAATAGTTTTAACACTCATAAATTATGGAATTTAAGCTCTCCAGAAAATATATGGAAGTTACTTAGTGCTGTGCTGTGCTAAAAGAATTAAATATGCAAGTTCTTAACCACTGAAAATATATAAATGCAGAAATGTCATCATGAAACAATGCTTCAACTTCCAAGATAAAAACCAAGCAAAAAGTCAAACATGCCATGACTGGAAATCCAAGAGTCCACTAAACTCACATATTACGATGTACAAAACCTGCTGGACCAACAGCAGGGGACAAAAGTGACCAACACCCCAGATAAAATGGTTTTCGGTCATGTGATAGGTCTACACCAATCGCTCAACGAAGTTTTGGCGGGAAAATAATTAATTCAGCAAAATTGTAAATAAATTAATACAAACACTTTTAATAACTGTGTAATTTTATATATTTGTAAAACTTTTATTAAACTACCTATATTTCATAATTATAAGGACATAAAAATAAGTACATAATTTTAAAGTTATATATACAAAATTCTGATAGGCTACTGAGTACATTTACAGTATAATTTGGGAATTGTATGAGGTTATTATCATATATCATAAATTCCTTACATGTTTTCCAGACCCACCTCCTCCAACTATTCCCCTTGGGAGAGGCATGGACCTCTAGGCCTATGGTATGGGAGAGGTGTGTAAAGAAGGATAACTCATGATAATTCCAATCTTAATTTTATTTATCGATTCCTTGTGTTTTGATTGGACGAGAACAAATTCAAGGAAAAGTTTACACATCGATGAATTTTTCAACCAGAACTACTTTCTTGACTGTTGTAAAAACAATGAAAACCCGTTTTAGCTAAATTATGATTACAAAAAACTTATAATAAAAAATGAATGAATAAAAAAGAGAATAACAGGACTGACAGACGGGAATATTATGTTTATGTCACTGTCGGATCACGAGTGTGAATTTTTGAAATCGCTGATCATGCTGTCATTTTCTCGACGTTCCATATCAACTCAGTTGGTATCGTAATGTGATAGGGAAAAGAAACGTACCTCGGGCTCTTGCCTTTTCAGCATCAAATTCATATATTTACATCCTACAGATCCCATATTCTCCCTAAATCTTTAAACGAACCAGAGCAAATCGAGGACGTCGTCGGTCAACTTTCGTCATGACGTCAACATGGCATTTGGTCAAGGACGAATTATTTTGGAGAATACGCGTATTTACGATATTTGTTGACTTAAACAACATTCAATGAGTTTTTATAAGTTTAATTATTGATTGTTTTGACAAATAAAGTTGGATTTTATCTATATTCATCTTGTATACGTTTCTATGAGGCATAAATTTAGTATTCCAACGCCGTACAAAATAACGGATTGTATGGCGGCCTCAAAGGGAAATAATTTTAATAATTAAAAAAAAATCGTAATTGGAATTATAAGAATTAAACGTTCTTTTTTCAGAATTTATCGATGTGTAAACTCTGCCTTTTTACTCACAAACTTTACATAAAAGTGCTTCGCACTTTTATTCAGTTTGTGAGTAAAAAGGCAGAGTTTACACATCGATAAATTCTGAAAAAAGAACGTTTAATCCTATAATGGGTTTTTTGTTGCAGTGCAATTGATATTGCTATAGATTGTGACAATGTTTAGCCTATTCATGTATGTGATAAACAAAAACATAAAACAGGACAACAGAAATAGGAAAAAATTATTTTTTTAAACGTTTGTAAGCCCTTCAATAAGCATGATAAGGCCTTCGCCGTTCATCATGTTCACGTTTCCGCGTTCTTGGTTACGTGATAGCAAACTTGTTAGGGTTCTGTAGCTGGATTATTTAAAGTGTTGGATAAGTGGAAATAAACCCAATAGAATCCATATTGATACATAACTTAACCCTTTAATATCATCAAAAGGTAAGCTATTTTTTTTAATGCCATATCTCTTCGAAGATAATTTCTATGTTTTGTTCCGTGGAAATATTAAAGGCCGGTTAGCTCAGTCGGTTAGAGCGTCGTGCTAATAACGCGAATGTCGTGGGTTCGACCCCCACACTGGCCATAATTTTTTTTTTCAATTTTCACCCCATTTTTAAAATATTTAAGATATATAAACAGTGTGTATATATTTTTTTTCTTCTCAGCACTCAACGACAGTACAAAACTAAAATTTCCTAGTTTTACATGTACCATTGCTCAAAAAAAGATCGAATGTAGGCTAATTACTATCTAAATGCGTTATTTTATAGAGAAAAGGAATTGTTTTGCTCGTTTCTCTACTTCAACACTTCTTGTAAAAATAAAAGAGACCGATTTCTGCACAGAGGTTCGCAAACCTATCAATTTATTGAAATTTTTACGAAATAAAAAAAAAAACGGAATACATGTACCTATACATTTGAATTATTATTGTAGTTTGCTAACAATTTCGGTAAATTGATTGGTATGTGAATTTCTGTAAGACACATATACTGGCAGTGGCGTAAGCAAGTAAATCACTGGCGGATTAAGAAGGGGTCCCCGATATTTTTGTCTCAGTCTACAGAAAAAAAGGATGTCTCTTAGATTTAAAATCTGGCCTAGATTATAAACCTTAAATTGCTGATACACGTTAGTACACGTACAACTTAGATATTAGATATTTCCAACCCCCTATATAGATAAAATCAATCAAATGTGCAAAAAAAGTTTATATTTACTTCCGTTCACGACTCACAGTTCCGTACCTAGGACATAGTAAAAACAGTTACTCGAGCGTGACATCTGAAAAATATTTCAAAATATTTACCACTCCTAGGTGTAATCTTGGCTGTCTCCCAAAGATCTACGAACCGATCCTGTTATTACACGGGGGGATTACATCACCTAAAACATGGTTTACGGAGAGATATTTGACCATTCCTTATTCGGAATTACTCCGAAACGGACAAACAGGTATAGTTAATTTAATTTTAGTTCCGATGGCTTTGTATTCTCTTTAGAGAAAGCCTGTCCACTTCTCTAAAGAGAATAATGGCTTTGTATCATGTAATATTTCCTAAAACTGTATTACAAATTTGTAATCGAGATATTTTTTTTTATTTTTAAAACACTTTTACAACATATATACTGTTATAAACACATTCAACATACATATCTTTACAACCGAATTTGTTCATGTTGTTACCTTTATTCAATATTGGGTTTATAGTACAATATAATCATTGAAGAGTTACGTCCTTTCCCATTCATAAAAAAATGTTCTTGGAACTCTCTTTCTCAATTACATGAGTAAGTGGGTTCATTAGCTGACAAATAGATTTGTTGTTTTAAAAAAAAAATATAACGATAGACGACTAATACGACCCTATTTCGACTACTGTAGTATGTTGAGTAATAATATACAAATTATTATTACTTTGTTTCAGCCATGTCCGCACTCCTAATCATTTTATCTATGGCAGTTGCCACTGTCGCCGCTGGAAAACTTGTCAGCTATTGTGATGTTGACAAACAGGAGTTTTACGTTAAGCAGTGGGGGCGGTGCAAGGCTTGTGATAGGTGTCCAAGGGGTTACGGACTGGATTCAGAGAGAGTAAGAAATTATTTTCACTTTTTTATTTCACCTGAAATATTATGGTCATAAGCAACATCTTTGTATCCATTCGAATGAATAAAAACAATCACTAAAACCCAGGACTATGTTGCTACAAACGTTTTATCGCGAGTAAAACAGAGATTGGAAGTAATTTATTATAAGTCAAAAGCATCATTTTCGGCACTGATCACGAGATATATAAACTTGAATGAAAAAATAATAATTACTAACATCAGACCTAAAATTGTACAAACTAGATCTAAAGAATTATGATACCTTGTATAGTAGGATGTTCCATCTGTGAAAAAAATATAATCATTTTTTTCAAACGCCTGTTTAAGTGTTATCCATGTTATATTTAGGATGTACGACTAGATCCAGTGTACGGAGCCCTCCACTGTAGAGGTTGTGTGAAATGCACTACCGGTGAAACCTATAATTCTGAGATAGGATACGGGGAATGCATCAGGTGTACAAACTGTACGGCTTACCGAAGAACTGTCATAACAGAGTGTACAATAGAAACAGATACAGTCTGCAGCAATACAGTAATACAAGAGAACAGGCTAATCCAGTGGGTATATTCATGGAATATATTTGTGCAAAATTTAAATATAATGAATTTATGTTTTAAAGATGACAATATTGCTGATGGTAACGATTTAAAATCACCAATAAAATTCAATTCAGGTCGTTCCAGAATAAGCGTGAAACTGCTTCAGAGGATCAAACTTACTCGGACTCAAAATCAGACACCGAGGACAATATCGGCAAACAAGACCTAGAAAATACAGGTATGAGACATAAATCCCGGTAAATTTTAGATTATTGTTGAACATTCTTGTTAAATAATGCTATAGTATAAAGTAGCAGTGACAAAAAATAGCTACTTATCTTTTTCTTCCAGATTTGAATCCTGTGCTGACATGGTCTGGAATTTTAGCAATAGCAATGTTTGTTCCTCTTTCAATTGTGATTTTCAGAAGAAATAAAGACAAAATAAATTGCTGGAAAAAAGGTAAATTACATACAATATAATGATGTATATGTATTCTTTTATGAAATTCTGTCATTGCTCTTATAAAATATCTAACATGTAATGCATGTTTGAATAAAAATACGTGTACATGCATTTTTTTTAAAGACATAAACATTTCTATAGATGTCCAAGAGCAAGAAAACTTGCATAAAAAGTAAGTGTTTAGTATTTATCAATCAAAAATATTTTCATCCATGTATATAATCATATAATTTTCATCCCTTGTTGTATATAGTAGTTTTTTCCGAAAAGTAGCTTTTCCAAATGGAAAATTGTAGATTATCCTCCTTAGCAAGGTTGCTCTTTATGATTAAAATGAAAACGGTACTACTTTACACTCAGTTTTAGTGGAGGTTGCTTAAGGGGAATGCTCCTTTACAACACCGTCATTAAAACAAAACTTACATTTTATAATAGAGATAAATCTGATGTTCCTGCGACACTTGAATCAGTTGTGGAATCTGTTTCTTTAAAAACCGTGGAATCTCAGAAAGATTGCTCAGAAGAAACTAACCAGTCTCATAAACGACTATCAGTGATGTCTGATGATATGCCGCCATTAGAGAGCAACTTCTATTACAGTTTAAGCAGTGACATCCACTTAAATGGAATGGATGTTGTGGAAGATGCAGAAAATTCCCAGGTATGACTCTGTGACGAAATATGTTAATAATTTATTTATCATTTCAATTTCAAGATTTGGAAACATGGGTTAAAAGTTAAATTAAAAACGTATAATTTCTGAATTTGGTTGGTTGCTGAATTAAGTTTCTTGTTTATTTCTTAGAGATTTCAATTTTAGATGAAGTAGATACATGTGTATGAAGAAAAAGGTTAAGTGAATCTCCTTACGGACAAAGAATTGCAGGGTACATGATTCTGTGGTGACTGCTTATTCAGTACGTCCGACATGCCTAGAACTTCAGGATAAGGAGTAAGGACTGTGAAATACAGATCAAGGAAGGATAGAAAAATGATCTCACAGGAGGCAGTTTTTCAGTCTCGGAATGAAAGGGACTCTTGCTACGAAATCAGTTCTTCAAAAACCGTTTCGAAAAGTTGAACTTAACGTAACTTTTACAGATGATCCCTGAGTTTTGACTTTTCTGCCATGTTAAAACATTACCCCCCCCCCCCCCCCCCCCCCCAGGTGATACTGGCTGATTTAGCGTGAACAAACTTGAAATTCATAGTACGCTCTGACAAGATGGTCTTACCTAACGTAAACCAGTTTAAAAAAAAATGAATACATGTAATGAGGTGCTCATGAATAGTGATGTTTGAAAGAGTTCATCATGTCTTCACGTTGTCCAGTTGCCCGGGGAACTATTACAAAAAGAGGAAACGAGACAAGATTGTGAATAGACAGTTGTTGATTTGTAGATGTAAAAAGTTATTTGAACATGTGGAAGAAAGGGAGGAATAAAATGCACAAGCAGCACAGTAATGGTTATTTTCTTTTCACTGTGTTTCACTGTTATTTGACCTTAACAATAAACTAGAGGAACTGTGAACACTGAGCTCAATAAAGATACTCCCCGCCTCCCGTTTGATTTTAATGGCAAAGTCCATGTTTTGCTTGGGAGGCGCGAAAAAAGTGTCAGATCAGAAAGTAAAAGAAGATATGCAAAACTGCATCATATACCAAAGAATCTGTGAAAGTATCATTAGATTTTATTCATTGATGTAGGAGGAGTTGCGGATAAGAGAAAGATTCCCTTTAATAAGAAAGAATGACACTGTTTAATATTATGTTTTGCTATGGAACCGAAATATGTGTCAAAAAGTAAAATAGGAGGTGCACAATGGCACTATGTAACAAATACTCTATGTCTCATTATATTTCATATACTAGTAGTTGTATAAGAGGAGTTGCGGATAAGGAAAGGTATACCAAAATCATCTCTATATTTTGCTATAGGTGACTTGGAACAAAGATTCTGTCAAATTTTCCTTCAATTTTATTCAGTGGTATAGGAGAAGTTGCAGCGAAGAGATAGGTACCCAAAAGGTAATGGACGGACATCCCGATCACGATATACCCTACCACTTTTCAATCGCAGGATGATGAAGAATTAGAGGTATTGTAAGCACTGAGCTCAAAATGAATGATACCCATGCCTGGCATGTTATTATAATGGCAAACTCCATGTTTTGCTATAAGAGGCCCGGTATAATTGTCAGATCAATAAGTAAAAATGGTGAACACTTTGGCAATATGTTAAAGTAAAATTCATTCATTGGAATAGGAGTGGCGGATAAGCGATGGGTACCTCTCATTATTAAAAAAAACAAGAGGTACTGTAAGCAATGAGCTCACTAAATGATACCCCCCGCCTCCCATATGATTATACTGGCAAAGTCCATATTTTTGCTGTGGCCGGGAAACCCAAAATATGTGTGGGATCAAAAAATAAAAATAGAAGGTGCACACGACAATAAATAATAAAGATTCTGTGAAAATTTCATTAAATTTTACTCAGTGGTATAAGAGGAGTTGCGGATAAGAAATGGGTACCCCAAAGCGTAACAGACAGACGAACGGACATACCGATTACAGTATACCCTCCCACTTTTCAAGCGGGGGGTATAACAATTGTTGGTACTACACATTTATGGTCTCCTACGTATGTTTTTCATGGACTAGTCGATGGTGTTGTTTGGATACATGTTATTAATACCATGTGTTCTTGGACATTTCAATTTAAATCATGAGGGTATAACTATATTTATAACCCCCCTCCCCCCTTCCCGCTTGAAATGCGGAAGGGTATATATAGTAATCCGTATGTCCGTCCGTCTGTTACGCTTTGGGGTACCCATCTCTTATCCGCAACTCCTCTCATACCACTGAAGGAAATTTAATGAAACTTTCACAGAATCTTTATTACATATTGCCATTGTGCACCTTCTATGTTACTTTTTGATCTAACATATATTTTGGATTTTCCAGAGCAAAACATGGACACTGCCATTGTCTACATATGGGAGGTGGGGGTATCATTTAGTGAGCTCATTGCTCACAGTACCTCTAGTTGTTTACCAGACCTTTTCGTGTGTGATATAAAGGAAATACATGTAAGTAATGGCAAAGTCCATGTTTTGCTGTGGCCGGGAAACCCAAAATATGTGTCGGATCAAAAAGTAAAATAAGAGGTGCACAATGGCAATATGTAATAAAGATTCTGTGAAAGTTTCATTAAATTTCACCCAGTGGTATAAGAGCTAGCTAGGCGTTGCGGATAAGAGATGGGTACCCCAAAGCGTAACAGACAGACGGACGGACGGACATACCGATTACAGTATACCCACCCACTTTTCAAGCAGGGGTATAAAAATGGTCGTGTCAATGTTTTCCAGTGAGAAACCCAAAATATGTGTCCGATCAAAAAGGAAAATAGTAAGTGCACAATGTCACTATGTAACAAAGATTCTGCGAAAGTCTCATTACATTTCATTCAGTGGTATAAGAGGAATTGCTGATAAGAGATGGGTACCCCAAAGCCAACTTTATGTTTTCCTTTTGGTGACCCGAAAAGAGTGTCAGATCAAAAAGTAAAATACTAGTAGGAGGAGCACATGCAGTGCCATAATGTAAGAATAAGAGATGGGTACCCCAAAGCATAACAGACGGACATCCCCATTATTATGCCCCTCCCCCAGTTTTTTTTTTTCAAGCGGAGTATTAAAATGATATTTTTCAGTGAGGGGAAGGGATCTTTTTTAAATAGGTACATGTACCTTATAACAACAAGTTTTACGCATACCTGCAAGGATAATTAGTGCACTTAAAGCATTTTTGTTGGTGTCAGTTTTTCATTTTATCATACCTTTGAAGGGAAAAGTATAATACCCCCATAAAAAGACCCCCCTAAAATGCATATAATCTAAAAGATGCTTTTACTACCATAAGATTCACACGTGCTAAAAAGACATCTCAAAATTTACTTCACGAGGGGTCCTCTTGATATGTGCGTCACAGGAATTAATTGTGAAACAGTTTCACTGTAGTCATGGTTTGTGGTTATCATGCAGTGTTACAACCCTTTATTTTAGCTACCCACCATTTACCACAGGTACTTGAGGACGGGAAGCATTCTTATTTTCAATAAAGAAAAATATCAAAACCGCGGTATTTTAAAGAAAATACTCTTTTGATATATATACAGCTTGAAACGTGGGAGAGTATATAGTGATCAGGATGTCCGTCCGTCTGTCTGTACATTCGTCCGTTAGTCTTTGGGGTATCCATATCTTATCCACAACTCCTCTTATACCACTGATTGAACTGATTTAACTTAATGATGAGACTTTCACAGAATTGTGTTTACATAATGCCACTGTGCACCTCCTATTTTACTTTTGGATTGGACACACATTTCGGGTTTCCTATAGCAAAACATGGACAGTGCCATTTTTTCTGTAATATTGAAAGGTACTCATCAATTATCCGCAACTCCTCTCATACCACTGAATAAAATTTACACAAGATTCTTTTACAAAGTCTTTATTAAAGAGGCTGGGGGTGGCAGCTATTTTCATACTACGAGGGTTGATCCAAAAGTAATGTCACTGTGTCCATATCTTCTATATTTGGCGTCATATTATCAAATACAATATACCAAAAGATGCACAAATACAAATCTAATAAAAATTGAAATTTTTATTTAATAATGTTTATTTAAATTTATTTTGTAGATGTTTAAAACAAAAAGCATAGGGGTGTCGCCGCGTCAAAGTTTATTTTTTCTTAGAATGCAAAATACAAACACATTTAAAAGATTCTAACAAAGCACCTAATCTCTCATTTCTTTTAAAAGACACAATTCAAGTCATTTTCTAGACTTTAATTGATAATTAAATGACGGCATTGGTATTTGTGATCTTAAACATTGTTGTTTTACTCTCTGGACCGAACAAAGGGATTGTCGAAATGGAAAAAAAAAACGGCTCGACGAGTTGTAAGACATTTTTGCTTCAAAATATTGGAATCATCACTAGCGGCATTTACGTTAATTAATAAAACTCACAGAATAAAGAATGTAAATAAAAGACTTCTTTACAGCTGGTTTCAGGAATTTTGGGCGGAGGATGGGTCACTGAATGATCAGCAGAGGACAAAAAGACCGAAAGATAGGAGATCGGACGGAAACGTTCAATGGTGTCTGACGTTGTCAAAAATTACAGACGGATAGAGTGACATGTGAATTTTTAAGTTTGCCTTATGCCACTGTTCAAAAAATTTTGACAGAGGGCTTAATTATGAAAAGAGTGAGTGTATAATGGTACTCACTGTACAAAGAATTCTTAAAGAAAGTGAAATTGATGAAAGTGTTTGCGAATCACAAATATTTTTTAATGAAAGGAAGGGGGGAACGCTTATAAGTATGACGGCGCGTATCCGTCATATGGCGTTATATTAAGGTGCGGTGACTACCATAAACGCACATTGTTTAAAATCTGATATTTTGGAAAGAATACATCATATTCCTTTGAATTATTCAGGTCTGATTTGAAATAAATAAAACTTTCATCATGTGTAATTCTGTTGTTTTACGTCAATTTATAGCAATTTTATCAAAGTTGTGACATTTCTTTTGGATCAACCCTCGTATTTCGATCTCCTTTAAAAGAAAAGCTCCATATAAAGATCAAATTTTAAAACTAAAATGTATGAATTTTTTCTTTGCCAAATGATAGTTGACAGCTTATGATACCATATCTAAAAAAAAATAAGTTAAAGCTGGTGGTTAAATTGTGATTAATTTGTTGACCCCCAGCCTCCTTAAATAATAATCTTACATCTCCTATTTTACTTGTTGATCTAACACTTATTTCGGGTCTCATTATATTTCATTCAGTGTTATAAAAGGAGTTGTGGATAAGAGATGGCTACCCCAAAGCGTTACAGACAGACAAACACTCCCAATCACCAATACTCTGCCGCTTTCCAAGCGGGTATACATTATATCGATTCATTGCAACAAAAGAACTGTGCCCACGCTTACTCATAACCGATATCATTGATAAAATAAATATAGACACCGGTGTTGTGCAATATCTTCGTTCCTTCGAGAACAGCTTTGTATATTCGACCAATCCTAAATCTACACGAGGGATTTCATCACCCAAAAACAATGAACGGAGAGATTTTGTTTATTCCCTGTTCAGTCGTTCTACAGGACAGACCTGACAGGTCAGTTTATTTCTTTTATTTATTTACATATATATTTACCTTCACGTTGTGATACATAACGCACAGTAGGATATGCAGATCTATGCTAATATAATAACCATTGTTGATAGTTTTTGAAATATCCCATTAAAAAAATCTTTTTATGTTTATGGTCAAATATTTTAATCATTGCATGGACAGATTGACCAAGCATCAACAGACAGTGCAAGCTCTACAAAATATTACTGTTAGTTTTTTCTGACTATCAAGAGTTGTATCTCTTTCATGCACATGAGCACATGACGGTGACTCACATTATGTTTGACGTCAATGTATGTGAATAAAAAAATGAATGTATTGTATGCAACTAAATAGAAAAAAGAATCATTGGCAAGATTTTGTCGAGGGAAGAAGTAAATTCTATACTTGAACAGATTTTAATAGTTAGATACTTAGTCTATTTTTTTTTCAAATCTTGGTTTAAACAAAAAATTAATTGCATGAATTGTGAGACAGTAAGTTTTTCTAAATTAATTAATTTTTTTTTGTACTTTAGCAATGGCTCTTGTCCTCATCCTATTGACTCTGGCAGTGGCTACTGTAACCACAGGAACAGATGTCTATTGTGATGTTGAGAACAACGAGTTTTATGTGGAGCAGTGGGGGCAGTGCAAAGATTGTGACAGATGTCCAGGGGGATACGGGCTGGATATAAAGAGAGTAAGGGGTTACTTTCCTATCCAGAAACTTCCTCTATAGTCATGTTGTATACGTTAAAACTACAGTTACGAAGGTACCATATATATTATACTTACATCGTATATATTAGACTATGTATAAAATAATGTTTAGTTGCCCTCTTCCGACTCAAGGTGAAATTATTGGGTCAGTAGGTATAGGTGGGAAAATTTTTTTTCCTGAAAATTTCAACTTTTTGAAAACATTTGTTGACGGATGATAGGAATTGAAAGAAAAATAGATATTGTGACCAAATATATTAAAAAAAAATTTAAGTCGGGCCAGTTAAAAAAAATTTAGTCAGTCGGGAGATGGTAACTAAACAATTTTATTAAGCTGTCTTGACTTTCAAATAAATATATTTTTAGATAAAATTTTTTGAACATTGTTATTATATCATTAAGCAATTAACACTAATTATTTATCATTTCAGAATATAAATATTGACCCAGTTCACGGAGCTCTCGGCTGTAGAGGGTGTGTTAAATGTGTAGACGGTGAAACATTTAGTTCTGTTATCGGGTATGACCAATGTAAGAGTTGTACCGACTGTACGAGACAAGGGAAAAGTGTTGCCACACCCTGTACAAAAGAAAGGGATACGGTCTGCAGCAGGAATGTCTTACGTGTAACGAGGAAGAGCCAGACTCCGTAAGATTAAATAATACTCTAATAAAAGTTCATTTTAAACAATTCATTGGGCTTGTAACGTTTGTTTTCAATATGTTTTTTTTTTTTTTTTAGTTTGCTTCACACAACATCAAAACCAGTTTTTCTCAACAATGGTGATGACAACAGGGGTGATCAGAACAAGGAACACAATACGGGTATGTTTTAGGCTTACTTGATAGGAACGAAGCCTCCATTACAACCAACAAATTAATCTATATATATTTATTAATCTTATATATGAATATAATGAATGTGAATTTGTTTTTTTTTAACTTAGATTTTGACCCTTTACTTACAACAGTTGGGGTTGGGGTTGTTTTCATCTTTGTTGTACCATCAGCAGCGATACTCGTTATAATAAGGAAAAGATTAATTTGTCGTAAACAAGGTACAGTCAAAGTATAATTTTCTGAAATTACACAATCATCCTTTTTTGAAACAGGAATAAATTTATATAGATATTTAGAGATATTTTGAATGAAATATATATCTTTTTTCGACAGATTCGTCTAAGGTTGAAGACCTCGAAGAACAAGACAGACTCGACAAAAAGTAGGTATCCTTGATTATAATTATACAGCATAAAAAGTTTTATCATTCAAATGTACTGTACATTTATTTTGAAATTGTAAGGGATGTTTATTAAAAACCTATACCACTCAAAGATGTATTTTAATCATTAGAAATGTTGAGATTGATCCACCTTCCTGTGAAACCGAATCTGAATTGGATTTTGAAGCAAGACCTCTAACAGAAAGTGAAGAGAATGAAACGAACAGGAAAAGAAAACTACTTTCTGATGTTTCAATTGATATTCCCGGGAACTTTTCTTATGATAATGATTTAGAGACAGACACAGAGGAACAGATATCAGACCCAAGTAAGTTATCAGGGCTTACGATTTAGATAATATATAGGAACTTATATATTTAATGTCGGCTGTTAATTTTATTAACATTGTAAATTGTATACCATTTATTTCAGGGTTGAATGATGTTCCATCTGACAAAGAATTACAGAATATATGTCCCGATATTGCTCACAGTAATATTTATACCCGTCTTGGTCGAGAATTGGGAGTTGAAGACAGTGAAATAAAGAGAATCAAAGAGGAACAGAATGGCGATCTTCAAGAAACAGCGTTTCAGACACTTAAGAAGTGGAGAGAACTGAATGGAAAATCAGCAACAAAGTCTAAACTTCAATACGCACTCAAAAGAGTTGGAATGGGTAACATCTCTTTGATTGATGATCGATGATATGTATCTTTCTTGATTTGGTGAGATAAATACCTATCCAAGGTAAGGAAGCGTAGGTGTCCAGAGGGTTGCGCATCGTACATGTTCAGGTGGTTGCTGAAGACAGAATCTTCGCCCAAGCTCCAGATGCGAGGAACAAGTTCTTCAAGATGACGAACAGCGATTTAGCAAGGACGTTTTGTTCATGATGTGTAATAGGTCGCAGTGTACCTTACATAATATGATTGTATATATCTTGAGAAGGGAAAGTTTATTGTTGCGTTTTTAAAAAATAATTTGTTACACAAGTATAACTTGTATATTGTCAAATTGTTTTTGTTTTGAATAAAAAGGTTACTGAATATACTTTTGTTATTCTGACGAATGTGTGTTTCAAGACTTTAGTTTCCTACAGGTTGAACTTATATGTGCTTTGATTGAACAACGAAAATTTTATGTGTATGAAGTTTTCATCTGGGTTGAAAAATAAGACTTGCGGTAGTCTATAGACTGTTTATTTTAAGCGCTCTCTCTAATACTTTTTCACAATATCTAATAATTATCATTGGATCGTATTTGATAACTGAATACAACGTCAACACAAAGGACTCACGATGGATGTGACAAACCGATAGAGGATGCTAACTCCTTATTGGCACTTGATCATATCTCTGAAAATTTTCACCAATCCCTGTTTACAGGTTTGGTATTCTTGGTAGTATTTTCATTTTGGATCTATCACTGTTAACTTCAACTTTCACTTCGATCACAAAATCTTTTAAACAAAACAAATTTGTGCGCAGTGCATAGAAATCCCTGAAAATTTCTGAGGCGTGATCAGATGAATAAGGGGAGAGACATCCTTGTTGACTGCCCCGTTCCCCCTCCGTGAGAAATACATGTTTTCATTGCCATGGTAGACGGAGTAACCCAATGCAAGTTCTAATATTAACAGTATTCAAAAATTATTACATTTACAAATATTACATTTATTTTTATTCAGTGGTATAAGAGGAGTTGCGGATAAGAGATGGGTATCACAACGCGTAACAGACGTACACACGCACAGACGGACATCTAGATCACTATATACCCCCAACTTTCAAGCGGAGGGTTTAAATATGTAATGTAAAAAAAAAAAATCAATGGCCAGTGTGGGGGTCGAACCCACGACATTCGCGTTATTAGCACGACGCTCTAACCGACTGAGCTAACCGGCCTTTTGCGTTTATTCGCTGTTGTATATGCAACAGAAATTTATGCAAACCGTTGAAAAGATTAAAGCTTATGAAAAATAAGAGACAATAGAATTCAAAGTGATTTTAAGTGCCATGGTTTCGATTCTTAGTCACTTTCATAGCTGATATTGTCGATTAATTGGTTTTGATATCAAACTTAAAACATGGGCATTTGTCCGAATTACCTGTGTTATTAACATGTTATTTTGTATTTTTTTAAACATCTGGATAAAATCGTGGAAATTAAAAAAATTAACGTGTTTTGCTTTATAAAAAAATTGATATTTTTAAGAAACAAAATGCTTCTAAAATTACAAAACACGCATATATGTAATGAATTTAATTCGTTTCACAACTATATGCGAAGGCCCTCATTTTAAAGATTGCTCTTTGTTTTATATGTATGAAAAGTGGGAGGGTATATAGTAATCGAGCCAAATATGAATTTTGCCATTATAATCTGATGGGAGGCGTATCATTTGCACTTACCTCATGTACCTCTAAATAAATAAATAAAAAATAAATAAATAAATAAAAAATAATAATAAAATAGATAAAAATCTGAAACCGGCAATACTTGCATATTATCATGTATTTTACATTTTTTTTAAAAATAAAATCGTTTAGAAATATAAGAATTTTCTAGTTATTATACCCCTCTGTTTGAAAAGTGGGTAGGTATATAGTGATAAACTGATTAGAATGTCCGTCCCTCTGTCTGTTAAGCTTTGGGATGCCCATCTCTTATCCCGGCGCAACTTCTCTCGAGTGTACCACAAATTGAAATTAATGAGACTTGCACAGAATACTCGTATTTGTTATAAATAGTGGCATCGTGTACTTCCTATTGTACTTTTTGATCCGATACATATTTTTGGTTTCCGATAGTAAAACATGAACATAGCCTTTCCTTCTTTAGTATTGAAGGGCATCCATCTCTCATCCGCAACTCCTCCTATACCACTGAATAAAATGCAATGATACTTTCACAGAGTGACCTCCTATTCAACTATTTGATCTGATACTTATTTCGAGTTTCCCAGAGTAAAACATGAATTTTGCCAATCTCATCATACGGGAGTCGGTTATATCATTTAGTGAGCCAAATTTGTCTTTGTGAGTTGATACACTGTCATAAAAAATAACCATGCTGTGATAAATTTACTTTTACCTGGCATGATAACTGGAGATAGAGAATACATGCTAAAAGAGTATATTACAAGGGGTAAACTAAACGGAAGCCAAATAGCCTTTAGCTCTTACTCATATGTAGTTGTATATCAGTAACAAGTGCGTGGATTAGCTACTAAGTATAGGGCATAGTGCGTGGATTAGCTACTAAGTATAGGGCATAATTTGGGGAAGTAATTTACTTCCCTTTTGCAAACTTGCATGAATATACAGTTGTATTTTTATATATTTTAAACATACAAGTACACATGTATATAATGAGCCATTCGTTTCAATAGAAATAGCGAGGGTATATTCAATATTGCAATTTTAAATTACTCCTAATAGTTTTTTTGTACTTTATTCAGGGGCCTAATCGAGGTTTTTAATCATAAAAACAAAAATAGCAGAGACAGTAAAATTATACAATTTATCAAAAGAAAGAGAGAATGCAAAAAATAAGAAAACATATTAATTTGTGGAATTTTACAGTTAGAACAACTGTTGCAAGAAAGGAAATATTTCTTTTAACATTTAAAATGGGCTTACGAATTCAAAGTCAGCGATTTCTTTTGAAAATGTCGATACCAAAAAATACTGGTTCAACGTGAAAGCTATAACAAATCATCTGACATGACATAATGTTTAAATTTATCCAAAGGGCCCGAAAATCAGACGATTTCCGACAAGATGAAGGTAACAAGGGTCATTAAGTACATGTACTAGTATATTGTAAGTAGAGATGTATGTAATATATATTCATACAAATAATTATTCACTCAGTACTATTTTGTATTTTCAATTGAATGAAACGAAAAAGACTTTTCTATGAGATACTTTTAATTTTTTTTATACCTGAGGCATGCATTTTGCGTTTCATTGGCGACTGCATACCAAGATAAAAATAGCAGATGTGGCGTGATGTCGATTAGAACTAATTTTAGTATGAAATAGTTAATGATTCATGTGATACCTGCGTAATTATGATTATTCAAATGTTTCTAATTGTTTTTGTTTGTTTTTTTAGCAGCAAACTAAAAAAGAAAGCAGTATGCTTAAATAATGAAAATTAATATACAGAAAAAAAAAATTAAAAAGTATGCACCAGCATGAGGTTCAAAGTAAGTATATGAAATAGATATACATGTTTTCATATACATGTATAAGCATTCAATTCTTTGATATCAACTTTGGCGTAAGGCAGAAAAAAGATTGTTCATAATCACACACAAACATATGCACTATATGCAATTATGACCTTGATACCCTGACTTAAGGCTAACAACTGTTTTTAATCTTTAGGTCATAAAGCCTATACTTACATGTAATGATATGTAACATAATTCTTAATCGTAACAAATAATTAAAATAAGTTTCAATATATAATTTCGTTTCTTTACTTTTTCAATTCACAGCGGAGAGGAGACATTTAAATCTTCCTATATCACTTGCATTTAAAAAGCTATCAGCTTTTTTTCCCTTTAAAATCTTATCTGAGGAAAAAAGGAGCTATTGCGAGCACTGAGCTCACTAAATGATACCCCCAGTCTCCCATGTGATTAAAGTGGCAAAGTCTATGTTTTGTCCCGGGAGCCCCGAAATGAGTGCTAGATCAAAAAGTAAAATAGGAGGTGCATGATGACATTATGTAATAAAGAATCTATGAAGCTATCATTAAATTTTATTCAGTGATTAAGGTGGAGTTGCAGATTAGAGATGGATACCTTTCAAGAATGGCAGTGTCTATGGTTTGCTATGAGACACCCGAAATATGTGTCTGATCAAAATGTAAAATAGGAGGTCACAATGGCACTTTGTAAGAAAGATTTTGTGAAAATTTTATAGAATTTCATTCAGTGGTGTTAGAAGAGTTGCAGAAAACAGACGGGTACCCCAAATCGAAACAGACGGACGTACAGACGAACGGACGTTGAGTTTGACTGACGGTAGGACGGACGGACATTACGATTACTTTTCTGAGTATACCCTCCCACTTTTAAAAAAAAAACTAGTTACTATGAGTATTGAGCTCATTAGATGTCAACCCCGCTTTCCATGATTTGCAATGAGAAACCTAAAATAAGTGTCAGATCAAAAAGTAAAATAGGTAACAATAGCATAATGTAACAAAGAATCTGTAAAAGTATCATTGAATTTTATTAAGTGTAAAGGAGAGAGTTGCGGATAAGAGAAGGGTGCCCTTCAATATTATAGTAAGAATGGCAGTGTCCGTTTATTGGTATGAGAAACCCCAAATATGTGTCCGGAAAAAATGTAAATTATGAGGTGCACAATGACACTATGTAACAAAGTTTTTGTGAAAGAGTTTCATAAAATTTCATTCAGGGGTATAATAGGAGTTGCGGATAAGAGATGGATACCCTTCAATATTACAGAAAGAATGGACGTGTCCAAGATTTGCTCTGGGAAACCCAAAATATGTATTGAATCCAAAAGTAAAATAAAAGGTACACAAAGGCACTATGTAACAAAGATTCTGTGAAAGTCTCATGAAATTTTATTCATTTGTATAAGAGGAGTTGCGGATAAGAGATGGGTACCAAAGCGTAACAGGCGGACGTACAAACGGACGGACAGACATCCCGATCACAATGTATCCTCCCACTTCTCAAGTTGAGGGTATTAAAAAAGGATGGATGATGAGAGATTTCTCTGTTTGTACATCCAACTGCCAGCGAGCTACAAATCTAAAGCTACTTTATAGCAAGATGACATTAAAGATTAAAAAAAGTAAATAAATACACATGTTAAAAATTGTGATTTATGATTATTTACTGATGTATAATTGCGAGAAAAAGTACTTTTGCGCTTGCAAAGAACGACATACAAGTATGTTGACGGGAGGATCACTTGCGAAAATATAAAATACGACTCTTGTAGATATTTGGACTGACACTTTCACCGAATTTCGGAACAGTCCTTCACAATATGACAAGGAATTAAATATTCTAAATCTTTCAACAAAATATTCTGCAAGAATTTACTAATTTGAAGAAATGTTAACAACGTCTGAGTCTTAGTCAGTGATCTCAAAATAATTAACCCTTAAATCAAGTACTCTATATATATTACACTATTTACATCTCATGATACTCATGATTACCAGTTCAAATATTGTGTCAAAGATCGCACTCAGTAATCTTTTCTATAACGGGACAGTGCAGAGTCTTGACATGTGACGTTATGGGTATACGAGGAATTTGGCATTTCTCCAGGCCGGATGTATATTTTGGATCGGTTAGTCCTTCGCCGACTGTGGAAGAGGATGTACCTCGTGTGTCCAATAAGGTAAGTAAACTTTAAATTCGTACAACAAATTACAGGTATCAAACTGATCTGGAAGACAATTAATTTTTAATACATAATTTAAATGTACAGTTTAAGTATGATTTTTCATCGGAACGAAATTTTGAAATGTTATTCTATCTTGTTTAACTGGTGATTCAGATATCCGGATGCTTCACATATCCGGACAAATTGACTGGGAACCAAAGCGTCCGGATAAATGAGGGTCCACTGTATACTTGTATTTACTTTGACATATGCATCAAAGTTGTCATTCCATTCATATGTATTTGAATGAAAATAATTGGCATCTAAAAAGACAATTATTAGGGGTTATACAAATACATGTACATGTATAAATCCAATACAAAATCAGGATGTTTTTGAGATAAGTAAAATATTTTTTTTTCAGAAGGAGTGCCAAACAGGATAGTAACATTTAGGGGATTCCCCACTAACTTTAAATGCTCGATAAGGCAAAATGAAATTTATTTTTAAATTGATTATCAGCGTAATGTTTGCTGTGGTGTTTACAATCCATCCAAGTGAAACAAAAGATGTGTTTTGCAAACCTAGAAAACATGAGCATTACATAGAGCAGCTAAGGGGATGTAAAAAGTGCGACAGATGCCCGGCTGGCTGGGGATACGGATTAGCTCAGACTCAGGTAAGAAGTGTGACAGGTACCCGGTGGGAGGGGATAAGGATAAGATCAGAGTCAGGTAAGAATTGTGACAAATTGGGGAGGATATGGATTAGATCAGAGTCAGGTTAAAAATATATGACTGGTGTCCTATGGGTCAGTGAAAACGGATTAGCTCGGATTCATATAACATTTATAAGGTGAGGTGGAAGGAAATACGGATTAGATTGGAATTACGTGAGAGTGACAGGTGCCGGTGGGTGAGACTAGGGACAAGATCGGAGTTACAAAAGAAGTGTGACAGGTGTCCAGTGGGTGTGGATATGGATTAAATCAGAGTCAGGTAAGAAGTGTGACAGGTACCGGTGGGTGGAAATACGGATCAGATCAGAGTCAGGTAAGGATTGTGACAGGTACCCGGTGGGTGGGGATATAGATTGGATCAGAGTCAGGTAAGACGTGTGACAGGTGTGACCGGTGTGTGACAGGTGTGACTGGTGGGTGACAGGTGTCCGGTGTAAGACAGGTGTCCGATGTGACAGGTGTCCGGTGTGTGACAGGTGTCCAGTGGGTGACAGGTGTCCGGTGTGTGACAGGTGTCCAGTGGGTGACAGGTGTCCATTGTGTGACAGGTGTCAGGTGGGTGACAGGTGTGACTGGTGTGTGACAGGTGTCTGGAGGGTGACAGGTGTCCGGTGTGTGATAGGTGTCCAGTGTGTGACAGGTGTCTGGTGGGTGACAGATGTCCAGTTTGTGACAGGTGTCCATTGTGTGACAGATGTCTGGTGGGTGACAGGTGTCTGGTGTATGACAGGTGACCGTTGTGTGACAGGTGTCCGGTGGGTGACAGGTGTCCGTTGTGTGACAGGTGTCCAGTGTATGACATGTGTCGGGTGTGTGACAGGTGTCCAGTGGGTGACAGATGTCTGGTGTGACAGGTGTCCGGTGGGTGACAGGTGTCCGGTGGGTGGGGTATGGATAAGATCAGTCAGGTAAGAAGTGTGACAGGTGACCGGTGGGTGGGGATACGGATAAGATCAAAGTCAGGTAAGAAGTATGACAGGTGTCCGGTGGGTGGGGATACGGATTAAATCAAAGTCAGGTAAGAAGTGTGATAGGTGCCCGGTGGATGGGGATATGGATTGGATCAGAGTCCGGTTAAAAGTATGGCAGGTGCCCGATGGGAGGGGATACGGATCAGATCAGAGGCAAGTTAGAAGTGTGATAGGTGCCCGACTGGGTGAGGATACGGGTTAGATCAGAGTCAGGTAAGAAAAGTGACAAATTCCCAATGTGAGAGGATACGGATCAGGTCAGAGTCTGGAAAAATATATATTAGGTGTCCGATGGATGGGGGATACGGGTTAGATCAGAGTTATATTAGAAGTGTGATAGGTGCTTGACTGGGTTGGAATGCAGATTAGATCGGAGTTGCATAAGAAGGTGCTTGGCTCGATGGGGATTCGGATTAGATCAGGTCAGGTAAAAGTGTGAATGGTATCCGGTTGGTGGTAATATGGTTTAGATCGAGTCAGGTAAGAGAGGGCCCGGTGGGTGGACATTTTGATTAGATCCGATAAAAGTAAGAAATGTGACACGTGTATGGTTGTTTTGGGATACGGAAAAGACCTGAGTAGGCACATGTCAGAAGGGATAAATCTTTTATGAGCTAAAATTTTCTGTAGTACATAATAATTTGACATGGATTTTGAATTACAGAATTTTAAATTAAATTTAGTATAGTTCTTTAGCCATTTCTTCTTATTTTTTTTTGAATGTTTTCTTCCTAGAATGAAGTGGATATGGATCCTATACATGGAGCGATGTCTTGTCAGAAATGTGTCAGATGTGTAAATGGACTCACATTTAGTAAATATATCAGCCATCGACCATGCAGACTGTGTAAAAACTGCAAAGCATTGGGAAAAGTAGAAGTCAGACCCTGCACTTCGACAAGAAATGCTAAATGTGGTGGGAAACTACCACCCCCAAAAAGCAAACCGTATTTGTATGTCGACCTCTTGTTCTACAAAATTGATATTTCATTACTTTTAATTTTTTATAATTTAGTGTATGAAATTGTAACGATGTACCATTCTCAAATAGTAACATTTTTAAAAATGAATTTAAGACAAGATGACAAGACACATACCAGACAGAAAGAAGAAAAGAAGAATGATTCCTACCAGTCTACTGCCAGCAAAGGTTGGTGGTCTTCTACTGGGGAGTCACACATTCCTTGAAGTTTATCTGGAATATAAAATAAAATTAAGAACTACAAATGAAAATTATTACATTATACAAGTCATGAACTGGTCATCATTTATTTCTTTATAGAAAATGTTTATTTATATTAAAAACGGTTTACCTCGGACTGTTTAATTTGTTTGTTTTAGATTTGGTAAATTTCAGGAGTGTTTTTCTCTACACTGCAATCGTTCTTACTCTTATTGTGGGCCTTGTGGTCATGATGATTTTTGTATTGAGGAGAAATGCAAAAAAGAGTAAGTATACAAATGTTATTTTTAAAATCAAAAATCAGTTATACTAGGTATTAGTAAGCTTGAACCATTGTTGCTCTTATCTTTATATTTATATCGTGTTTTATTGTAGAAACCAGGGCCTTGAACAAACCAGACAATGTGATTCCAAAAACCGATGGGTATGCTGTCATTTTCTACAAGTGCATATGTTCTTTGTTCCTTTGTTGTTTATGAATTTGTTAATAATATTTATCGCCATTTTACAGAGGTGAAGACAACCAAATAACGATGGAAACTACCACTTTGATGACTGAGGAAAACCAGGAGCAACCTTTTGAAGCACTCAGAAACTTAATAAGGCAAGTTTCTAACACTGACTCTGTTCCTTTCCTGGAATCCGACTTTACCTGGGAACTGGATACAATGTCACCTGTGAAAAACGACGTGGAATGCGACGGAAACAGACTACAAACTTTTAAGCCTGCAAATTCACCTCCTCGCCTTCAAGGTAATCCTTTTCGTGGCTCTTGTCTTTGAAAACTGTCGCTGCAAATTGTAATATAGACATTTATAAAAGATATGCAAAAAGTAATAAATCAATTATTTTGCACTTGATTATATTGTGTGTGAGAGTTAGAAAACTTAATTCTTTCAGGATCAGAGTAAGTGAAAAATAGAGACTTACCTTCAATACACATGCTGTATTTTTAATTTTTTATCTATTTTCTATGTATCAGTGTCGGAGTTAAAGAGTGAGACGTTGACAGACGCCCAGTTTCAAGACCTGTGTCCAGAATTGGCCGCGAGCAACAACTATCGCAGGGTTGGACGCATGCTTGGTGTTCGAGACAGTGACATCGAAATTATCAATGAGCAGAACCGAGGCGATCCGAAGGAGGCTGCCTTCCAAACGTTAAAGAAATGGAGAGAACTGAAAGGGAAAGAAGCAACGAAGCAGCGACTCAGGGAAGCATTGCTCGCTTGTGGTCGTCAGGACCTTGTAGACAGAATCAAGTAAATAGACTTGCAAAGGAAAGATTCTCTTACAAGTAAAAGAAGTTATTCATGCATCGGTGATCCAATCGTACTATTCCAGTAAAGCACTGTGTCACCCTTTATAGAGATTGCAGCTTAACGAACGCCCAAGCTCCGGTATGCTGCGATACGAACATTGTATGTGAGCTTACTCCCGAGTGAATCGGTGTGCACACAGATCATACAATACAAGAGGGGAAAACGATTTGCCAAATATCGTTACTATTTGATTTCTTGCTCAGACCGGTCACACAAACTCCTTTAGGGATTGAAAGTTGGAAGAACTTGCATCTGAATTGCAAAAAATACAACATGTTGTGTTTGTGAAAAATAAAGTTTGGAAAAATATTGTATAATTCTTATGATTTTTTTCTTCAAAAAGTTGTATTGAACATTGGCCATTAGCATTCTACTTAAACATTGAATAATTGAAAAAGTATAATAGTGAGATGGATGGTTAAAATTGTGAGCAAATTATAATAATTTGAATATTTGACAAATAATAAGGCTTCATGAAGCTTGTTTTAAATAAAGAAACGAAAAAATTTCTTAATCAGTTTGAAGAAAAATGGACATCACTAAAATGCAATAGCACACGAATGTATGAAGTCGTCAAAGACTTCGTCGTGTGATAAAACTAATGACTTAAAAAAATTATCCTACAGTATGCTGCTTTGCAGCGAAAATATTTCATCTACAAATTCAACAAAATTTTAATATGTATTGCAATTCACACGATAGAAAGAAATTGTCCCAAATATGTTTTCTTACCTAGTTAAACAGTGAACTTAGAGCGTCTTAGATTGCACCATGCACATCTGCATCATTGACATCATTTGACAGATACAGCGGCATTTGGAGAGCTTTCCAATGAGTTGTGAACTTTCATAAATATTTTCTGTTTTACATTGAACATACTGTTCTGATTTAAAGATATTTTTAGATAATTTCTTCTCCCATTTATCTAAAAATCATTCATATATTGATTTCACAAAACTAAATCATAAGATTAAATATACCTATTGTTCGAATACTTAATAAAATTCAATAAAAATTAGAGTATTCATAAAATAGAGGTACTGTGAGCAATGAGCTCACTAAAGGATGCCCCCGCCTCCCATGTAAATATAATGGGAGTGTCCGTGTTTTAACGTTATAACGAATTCAATAAATCTGTTATAACAAATTAAATTCGTTATAACGAATTCTAAAAATCGTTATAACGAATTCAAAAATATTTTTTGATAGGTCCTAAATGGGCTTCCGTACTTATCAACTCACTTTAACAATAGTAAATCTATCTGTTATACTACATTTTATAATATATTGCATATAGTAATATCATAGACCTAAAGTAGTTCCCTTTATCTGTTTGGTAAATATATATGTACCACTTTTAACAATTTCTGGGGCGTTGTCTAGTGTGACATACATGTAGATAGTATTGAGTTTTCTCAATGAGCCGACGAGCTGGCATTTTAAAACTTTGAATGCTTGATTTTTAATCTTTTAAATCTCTATGAGATATTTGTTACTTTTATCTACATATTTCAAATTAAGCTACATGTAACACAAGTCCCATTGATGTACATGCATGAATGTGAGGCTGTCATGGAGACATCTGCTTACGTAATTGGAAATCCCTGTACATATGACCAGAAATGGATACCAATGGTATAAAGGAGTGTCCCAAGTGTCCTCGAATATAAATATGATAAGCGATATATACCGTGTATTCATTTAAATAACAACATTAGAAAAATTAAAGTTCAGTTGTCTGCGTGGCGCAGTGTTCGAAAGTCTGCTATAGAGCACAGGCACCTGAAATGCTGTTATCCCCGCCCCCCTCAAATTATTATACCCCGCTTGAAAAGCGGAAGGGTATATAGTAATCGGTATGTCCGTCCGTCTGTATGTCCATCCATCTGTTACGCTTGGGATGCTCATCCCTTATCTGCAACTCCTCTCATACCACTGGATTAAATTTAATGAAACTTTCACAGAATCTTTATAACATGTTGCCATTGTGCACCTCCTATTTACTTTTTTGATCTGACGCATTTTTTGGGTTTCCCACAGCAAAACATGGACAATATCATTATATTCATATGGATGGCAGGGTATCATTTAGTGAGCTCATTAATCACAGTACCTCTACTTTGGCCTAATTCTTAAACTATGCAACACGTGTAGATGACCTTGACTTATAGAGGGATAAATCTATGAAGGAAAGGTGGCTGCTATAAGACATACTTGTACTCCAGTATGCTTGAGATTTAAACGAAAAATCGTCCCTACGAAATTGAATTCGTTCCAATGAAATTTAATTCGTTTCCACGAAATAAAAATTTGTTTCCCACGAAATTTAATTCGTACTTATAAAATTAAATTCGTTTCGTCGAAATAAGAATTCGTTCCCTTGAATGTTCTGTTCCTACGAAATATTTTATAGCATGTAGCTAGCTTGTAGTAAATGGAACGAATTTAATTTCGTGGGAACGAATTTAAAAAACAAATTACAGCCACCGCGTATAAAAAACATGCTTATGATAATGACTTAGCATTCATTCATTTTCATAACTTCAGGTGACTTGTTAAGAACATGAAGGTGGCAACGAAAACAACAACGATTACAGCTCTAGCCAGTTGGGGGAATACGCTGATTAACTTTTGTATAATATTTACTGTTTCACTGACGTTTTATTTTTTGTTTTTTTTTCTTTTATAAAAGATTACATATCAGTTGACTGAGCTTTTATCAGGATCACGATAAAAAAGTTTTTCTAGACAAGTAAATAACGTCACTCGGAAGTTGAATTTAACCCCCACAAAGATGTTCTCGTGCTACAATGTACTTTTTTGAACCTATATACCGTAAAGTCTTAAAAACATAAACAAACACATGACGATCAATGACAGACTGTATTATGCAACGATCACGAGTTTGGCAAAATGACAAAAACTGCTTACTGATGACATCGCACGGCGTTCACAAGCCTTTAAAGTGGGTTACTAATTTTTGAAAATGAATAACTTTCTCAATTTTCAAAAGAGTTCAATTTGTGTACCAGATCAAATGGTAAAATAAAAGGTGCACAATGGCATAATGTAATGAAGAATTTGTGAAAGTCATTAAATTGTATTCAGTTGTATTAGAGGCGTTTGTGGATAAGAGATAGGTACCCAAGAAAGAATGGCAGTGTCCATGTTTCGCTATGGTAAACCCAAAATATATGTGTCGAATCAATAAGAAATTAGATGCACAATGGCAGTATGCAACAGAGATTCTTTGAAAGTCTCATTATATTTGATTTAGTGGTATAAGAGGAGTTGCGGATAAGAGATGGGTACCCCAAAGCGTAACGGACATGCAGACGGACATCCCGATCATTATTTACCCACCCATTTTTAAAACAGGAATATAAATAGGAGGTGCACATTCATTATGGATAGAATGGCAGTGTTCATGTTTGCTGTGGAAAACCCAAACATGTGTCAGATCAAAAAGTAAAACAACAGGTCACAATAGTACTATGTAACAAAGAAAGTCTCATTAAATTTAATTCGGTGGTATAAAAGGAGTTGTGGATAAGAGATATGTATACCCGGTATATCAATTCATAACGAGACTTATACAGAATATTTGTTACAATTAGCGACATTTTGTACCTCACATATTAATTTCTTGACCCGTTACAAAATTTGAGTTTCCCATAGCTGGACATACACAAAGTCATTCTTTCTATAATATTGAAGGCTACCAATCTCTTATCTGCAAATCCTCTTATTCCACTGAATGAAATTTAATGAGACTTTCACAGATTCTTTATTACGCAATACTATTGCCCACATTTTAATTTACTTTTTGAGCTGACACGTATTTTGGGTCTCCCAGAGGAAAACATGGACTTGCCATTATAATCATATGGGAGGCCGGGGTATTTTTTGGTGAGCTCAGTGCTCACAGTACCTCTGGTTTAATTCTAACATGACGGAAGATTGAGCTGTTCGAGTTATCGCTCTTCTGTTAACAATCTCAGTTTACCCATCCCAATCATTAATATTTTATATTTTGGTCACGGTTCCACAGGCACTTGTTTCGGAAATAAATCTCAATTCATAGTACCCCGTGTATGATAATAAGATGAGGTATCTAACTCCGAAATACTAGTACACAAAGTACTACCCTCCCTTAGAATCGCGCTTCATTTACACTTTCAGAGGAAATGCACTGGCCAGTGGCCACATTGGAGCTGAAAAATGGATACCAAGTGCTACAATGATTGGAAAGTGTTGAAGACATCTCAGAAAATATGATAAAAGGTCACAACGAAACAGCAGACAGCATATATGTATTTGGAGTAAAAGAAAAGAGACAAAAACCATGGATGAGACTCTTGGAATGGGGGTAGAAGAAAAGAAGCAGCTAAAACTCCAGCTTGCCAGCAACAGATCAGAGAGTTTAAAAAGAAGCTTAAGAAATGAATATTCAATTAAAGACAAAGAGGGGTAAAACGAGGTAACAGGAGAAAGTGGACAGGAGACAGGATTACAGGCGCAAAAAGAGCAGCAAGTAATGGGCACATGAAAACAATGTATGAGATAACTAGAGTGCCAAGTAATGAGAAGAAAGGCATGACAACAGCAGTAAGGGATGAAGATGGCAAGATCCTGAGCAGTCAAGATGAAAGAAAGAAAAGGTGGAAAGAGCACTTTTAAGAAATATTAAACCGCCCACAACCTGAACATTCATTAGAAGTTGAAAGCAAAGAATAAGTAGTAGATGAGATGGATACAAGTCCCATACGGTAAGAGGGAATCGTCAAGGCTATATAAAGAAACTAAAGAATGGAAAAGCTGGAGGACTGGTGTAGATGGGATAACAGCTGAGATGTTAAAAGCAGACACAGAGGCAACAGCAACAGCAAGATATTTGGAAAAACACTTTTCAACAATGTGGAAACAAGAAATCATACCATGAGTTTGAAGTAAAGGCCTGATAGTAAAGATTTCAAAGATAGGTGATAGATCGATATGTGATAATTATATAGAGGTATAACACTTTTGTCTGTTCCAAGCAAAGTGTTCTCCAGAATAGTGATACAAAGAATCCCAGATGAAGTGGAAAATCAGCTACGTGAGGAACAAACTGGCTTCAGAAGAGGGAGGAGAACAGCTGAACAACTATTTACACTCCATAACATCATAGAACTATGTACAAAATGGGACTCAGCATTGTTTGTAAATTATGTTGACTTTGAAAACTAAGACATTTGATTCCATTCACAAAGATAGTCTTTGGTCTATCATGAAATTTTATGGCATCCCAGGCAAACTGATCAGAGTGATAAAAATCCTATATGAATCATTCCAATGTGCAGTCCTAGAAGATGAAGAAACAGATTGGTTCCGGGTAACCAGCAGGAGTGAAGCACAATGTCTGGATTCCTATTTCTGTTGATAATAGATTATGTAATGAAAAGAACTACAGAAACAGAACCAACAGGAATAAGGTGGAATTTTACAACAAAACTCCAATATCTAGATTTCGCGGATGACCTTGCTCTACTTTCCTCAAAATTTCGGGACATCCAACAAAAGACACAAAGACTAAATGAAAATTCTAGACAAGCTGACCTCAGAATAAACATCGAGAAAACCAAAGTGATGAGGCTCAACTCAAGAGACAGTCAAGATTAATGGGCAAGACCTGCATGGAGGATGTAGAAACATTTACTTACTTGCAAATGTGATAACACACTGATGAGGACATTACTAGCAGACTGGGAAAATCTAAAGCTCAATTTAGAAGGCTTAGAAAAATCTGGAGCTCATCAAAATTTTCCATCCAAACAAAAGTAAGGTTATGTATTAGCTTGGTCCTGTCGTTCTAATGTATGGTAGTGGAACATAGAAAATAACGAAGCGAGACAAAAGGAAAATTGATACCTTCCAGAATAAATGCCTTTGAAAGATTCTAAGAGTAAAATGTCAAATGAAGAACCCCATAAAGACAGCTAGAGCAAGTGAGATAATAACTCTCAGGAAGTCCTATTGGATTGGCCAAAAACTGAGGATGGATAACACCAGGATATGTACCACCGCATTTACATAACATCAAGAAGGAAAGAGGAAAATGATCCGACAAAAGAACTTGGAGAAGGATTATGAAGCAAGAAAGGCTATAACTGGGATGGAATAGCTGGACGTCAGCGAGGGTAGCAGCCAAGGACAGAGGCAGGTGGAGGCAGTGTATTGGGGCCTTATGTTCCAATGGGCACGAAGATGATAAATGAGGTGAGGTGAGCCATAATTTGCTCTGGGAGGCACGCAAAAAGTGTCAGATCTGAAAGTAAAATAGGAGATACACAATGACATTATGTAAAAAACGAATCTATGAATGTATCATTAAATTTTATTCAGTGGTATAGGAGGAGTTGCGCATGAGAGATGGTACCCTTTAATATTATAGAAATAATGGCAGTGTCAGTGTTTTGCTGAAGGAAATCCGAAATATGTGTCCAATAAAAAAAAAAGAGGTGCACAATCATTTTGTAACAGATTCTGTGAAAGTTTCATTAAATTTCATTCAGTGGTATGGGAGGAGTTGCGGATAAGAGATGGGTACCCCAAAGCGTAACAAACGGACAGACATCCCGATCACTATATACCCTCCCGCTTTTCAAGCCAAGGATATAACGGGGGTATAAATATAAAACATTAAATAATATATTCTCCTTGGCAAGAACTTTTTTAACAGTTTTATATTATTTGTATTTTTAGCAAATGAACTCCTGGGGGTTAAGACGGTTTATAGCTTACCTGAGCCGAAGGCTCATGTGAGCTTTTCTGATCACATTTTGTCCGGCGTCCGTCTGTCCGTCTGTCTGTCTGTAAACTTTTCACTTTTTCGACTTCTTCTCAAGAACCGCTGGGCCAATTTCAACCAAACTTGCCACAAAGCATCCTTGGGTGAAGGGGGTCCAAGTTTGTTCAAATGAAGGGCCACACCCTCATTCAAGGGGAGATAATTGGGAATTAATGAAAATTTGGTGGCATGTTATAAAAATCTTCTTCTCTAGAACCACTGTGCCAGGAAAGATGAAACTTATTTGGACACATCCCCAGGTAGTGTAGATTCAAGTTTGTTCAAATAATGACCCCTGGGGGTAGGGCGGGGCCACAATGGCCGACCAAAGTTTTACACAGAAATATATAGGATAATTCTTTGAAAATCTTTTTCTCAAGAATAACAAAGCCATAATTGATCATATTAATATGGAAGCATCCTCAGGTAGTGTAGATTCAAGTTTGTTCAATTCATGACCCCCGGGGGTAGGGCGGGGCAACAATGGCCGACCAAAGTTTTACATAGAAATATATGAGAAAATTCTTTAAAAAATCTTCTTCTCAAGAATAACAAAGCAATAATTGATCATATTAATATGGAAGCATCCTCTGGTAGTGTAGATTCAAGTTTGTTCAATTCATGACCCCCGGGGGTAGGGCGGGGCCACAAGGGTCGACCGAAGTTTTACATAGAAATATATAGGAAAACTTTTTAAAAATCTTCTCAAAAATAGCAAAGCCATAATTGATCATATTTATATGGAAGCATCCTCAGATATTGTAGATTCAAGTTTTTTCAAACCATGACCCCCGGGGGTATGGAGGGGCCACAATGGCCGACCAAAGTTTTACATAGAAATATATAGGAAAATTCTTTAAAAATCTCTTCTCAAGAATAACAAAGCCATAATTGATCATATTTATTATTAATTATTATTATTAATATGGAAGCATCCTCAAGTAGTGTAGATTCAAGTTTGTTCAAATCAAAACCCCCAGGGGTAGGGCGGGGCCACAATGGATGACCAAATTTTTATATAGAAATATATAAGAAAATTCTTTAAAAATCTTCTTTTCAAGAATAGCAAAGCCATAATTATTCATATTTATATGGAAGCATCCTCAGGTAGTGTAGATTCAAATTTGTTCAAATCATGACCCCCGGGTGTAGGGCGGAGCCACAATGGCCAATCAAAGTTTTACATAGACATATATAGGAAAATTCTTTAAAAATCTTCTTCTAAAGAATAGTAAAGCCATGATTGGTCATGGGACTACTTTTGGATTTCAACTTTTCAATAATAAACCAGTTTGTACTTTTTCCTAGCCACAGTGCTCAGGTGAGGGATGTGACCCATGGGCCTCTTGTCTAATAATATTAAACATTATATTAAGTGAAAGAGAGCCATGCTTCCATTCCTTTTTAAAAATTAGATATCTACATCATCATATTTCATTCCGAGTTTTATAAACTTCACAGATATTAAAGTATGAACACTATGTCTCCAAGTATTACATATTGTTTTATAGTTTATACATTTAAAAAATGTTTTGAAAAACATTTTAAAGTTATATTAAAGCTGTTAGATCGCAGAGAAAGATATTGAAACAGCTATCAAAAATTCGGTTCCAAAGGAATGTTTTGTCACATGGAATATACCTTTGAAGTATGAGAGCCCTAATACTAAAGGTTCAATAGTTAAGGTCAGGGTTATAGTTTTTGAATTGTGGGTCAACCTCCTGACCTTTTGACACTGAATTTAGAGTTTGACCTACTTTTCAAGAACTTCAACCTTAGCCATAACTTTAACAGTAAGTACTAGGGCTTTTATATTTTACACATGTATTCCTTGGGACATAACCTTTCTTTGGATTCTAGAAGTTTTAACCTTTTGGCCTTGGATTTTGATATATATTTTTTTAAATTGATCCTGGCAACAATTTTTGAATGGCTAGTGCTTAAGCATCAAATTGGGGCATCAGTTTTTCACAAACACATCTTTTTATGCTTGTAATTTTGCTAATATTTTCTCACCCAACTTTCAATTTCTTGCAGTTTCTCAAAACTTCAAATTTAAAGTATATATTTTCCATTTCAAAATTAAGAACTAGATATTGTCTAATAAGTTTATGCATTTTTTCTCCAGTAATTTTCAGTGGTACATGTATAATAAAAGCCCAAACACATTGGTAATTTTTCTGTTTTATTTATTATTTTGATCCTTTTAATAACATTCAAACGCTGCCATTACTATTAACATTATGCATACGTTTTTCAATAAAATAACAGGATTTCACAATCTCGGCTCATCTCCATAGAAACAATAACAACAACAAGAGATTAAGCCAAGGTTCAGCAGGAACAAGGTATATTGCTGAAGTTAGGAATATTGCAATAGGACACATTTGCTATACAATGTTTATGAGATCTGACATACAAGTTCATTATTACTGGGGTTATTTTTCATTCCTTTATATATACAATTGATATTAATACAATGAACACAATTTTTGTTTTCACAAACTTATGCATTTTTTTCTTACATTTAAAAATGTTTAATACTGGCATATTAGATGTCTGGAAGTTATATATTGTGGCAGACACTGTGCTTGTAATAGAACTCCTTTACTCCATTCTTCCACCCTGTAAAAGAAGAAAAGATTTTTATAACAGATATACAAGTGTTTGATTTTTTTTCCATCTCTCCATAAACTAATTGCCATTGCAAAATTCATGATGTTAAGAATAAACTCACCTCTATTAGTAATGTCCCAGTCTCCAGAGGTTTTATAGAATGGTGCGACACAACCCTGGCTGGCTAACTGTCACCACTATCCATTGGATTGGTCTTACAGTCTTTTTTCTTTCATTAACTGTTTATGTATATCGTCCACATAAAGTTATAAGCACTTTTGTTTCATTAGTATATTGTTCACCATAATGAAAAAAATTCTTTGGTTACACAATTATAAATAAAGTTTGCGATAAATAAATTTTGATATTCAATGCCATCGCACTAAACAAACATATCTCTGGGTCTGTTATCGAAGCTATCATCAATATCGTCATTAATTGTGTAACTTCCACTAGTTGTCGTACACTCATCATCATCCCGACTGTGTGCACTATGACTTCCCAGTGTTGTGTCTTTGGAATAAAATAACAAACTGTCATTCATTCTATCACTCGTATGATATCCCGTCCAAGCAGGAATTGTGGGTAACTTTTGCACATTGTTACTATTTTGTCTGTTAATTGTGTGGTTATTATCTGACCACAGTGAATTAATGCTAGAAGTTAATAAACTATCATCCATGTATTTAGACACAGGTAAATTAGACGACACTGAATTTAAGCGTCTCTCATTCGGGAGTGTGTTTGTTTGACTGCTGTGAGGCTCTTGCATCAACAAGACTCCATTTTTTAAGAACGTAGGTTGCAGGGGCAATCTTTTATCTGTAAAGAAAATATAAAATATTCATTTTATTAATTTTCAAGAAAAATTTTGAAGATATTTTTGAAAAATTTTAAAAAAGAATTTTATATATACATGTCCTTAAATATATATATATATATATAAAACTTTACAATGAATATGATAAATTTCTATTCCTGCATTAACAAGGAATCAAAACTCATTAATCATATACATTTGTTTTCATTTTTTACAATTATAATTTTCGATTTTCCCCTAAGATAGCAGGATAAAGGGAGCCTACTAACCAATATTGTTATTGTGGTTATGACTAGTGAAGTCTTCCTCCGATCCTCCGTGACCACTATCTGACGGGATTGTCTCCCCTGAGGTTTCACTCGGGCTCTCCTCTGTGTGTGGCTTTGGATTCTGAAGAGAAATAAATAAATATATATACGGTAATAAATTATCAATTCTTAAGTTCTTTATTAAAATTGTTTCATTGTATGTGTGTGTCTCTCCTTTTTTATTTTGAAATGCACTTTTAATATACATGTTCCACTCCCTTTGAAAATAAAAATTGGCATTTTCAATGTAAAATTATACAATTAATCCTTTTTAGCATCATCAAACAAAATATTTATAATTTTGGTTTTTAAATAAACCAAAAAAGCATGAAATTTTAATTACTGATAATAAAAACCTCCCCACACCTTCTAGTTTCATAGTGAGTATTTTTAAGGGTTGCCTCATGTAAAATTTAGACATTCAAATATCATTATCTCTGCCTGTGAAATTTTTGATTTCTATCAATTTTCTATATTTTTAGTTCTACCTTATCAAGTCTATAGGTTTTCAATTTTTCCACAGGGTTTTTATATAATATTTTTTAATGTTTGATATAAGGCAGCAGTCCGTGTTAGCATTATCTCTCATAAAATGGTGTTAAATTAAGGTCGGATTACATATGGAGTTTGAACTTATCATCTTGTTCCAGTCACTGATACTGGAGCCAGTTAGATGTTACAGGACAAAACAGTCTGAAATATTAATGGCTCTCAAATTGAATTTTTTTGATTTGGTTATTGAATTTCAAGTCATGTTATCCAATTTTCTTGGAATGCCTCTATGATTTTCTAAAGAGATCAAAATAATAAATAAAAAAATGCTTGATGGATAAATGATTTTTCATTTTTAGGACCAATATTTCATAAATCAGAAAAGAAGCCATCAAATGCTTATACCATGTCTTTTTATATACCTGTATTTTTTATTCAAACTTGTCAAAAGGATGAGAGATTGCTAGAATGACTTTCACTTTTACTCTAAAGGATATTTTTTAGGGGTAGCACCTGCTAAGACAACAATAAACCTTCCCTTTTTTGAAATTCAAGAAAATGGCCTGTATTTTCACATCTACCCAAGCATGTGATACCACCATTGAAAACCACTGAATCTTCTCATTTTTTTTTTTTTTTTTTTTTTTTTTTTTTTTTTTTGTGGGATCCTCTATGAAATCAATACATGTACTTCCCTTTCTAAACATCTGGTTAATATTTTTTTATCTCAGGCTTTGATAAAAAATATTTGAATTTAGATAATATAATATCAAAAGACGTACCTGCTGATTGTGATGCATATATTTTCCTGATTCTATTCTTCCATTCTGAAATAAAAGAAATTAATAAAAACAACTTCATTATAACTGGTATACTAAAATATATTTTATTTCATTGTCATAAATTTTCAAAATATTTAATAATACAAATTTAAATTTTAGGAGAAAAAGAACTTTTAAAAAGATTGCTATACATGTATTTAATACCGGTATATTTCCAGTCTACTACCAACTAATTTTATCTGGTAAAATAATTTTAGTAATTTGAACTAAACTTATTTCAATGCATATACTTTATAGGTAAATTTTTAATCATCAAAATGAACTTCAGAGAACATTAGAAAAGACAACATTTATTTCTGTGAACTGTCATTCCAGCTTCTCCAAAGATTCCTAACTAAGCAAACACTTTCCTCACTCCACACCTATTGTTTATCACTGAGCCGCTGGTACAGAAAGCCTACCTATCTAATTAAGCAAGCATCTAAGACAACGGAGACTTTCTACCCATCAACCACAGTCCTCGTCATTATAGCGTTACTTGTTGTTGTTGTTGGTAAAATCGGTATTTTATGTCATTAATTTTGTGACATCTGTCTAAATGTGATGGTTTTCTGACTGTGAAGTTTTATCTGTCTGTTCGTGAATCAAGTGTACAAATAGAAACTGTAATATTTCATGTACAGGTGTTTAATTTTTCAAAAATTATATTTATCTATACCCACTTAACTTTTACTCAGTAAACAAAATGATGGTCTCATTATTTCACCTTCCAGTGATATGGCAATATCAAAAAAAAAAAAAAAAAGTATCTTTTCGGTTAGGTACTTAAAATAAACAAATTTACAATGCAACAATTTATCAGATAAATTTAAAGCTATCTTTTCTTTTCGTAACTGCTATATTTTATAAAAAAGAAAAAAAACTAAAAACCATGTAAATTTTATCTACTGCATTATCAGTGAGTAAAAAGGGATGCATTTCAGTTTAAACAGAAAACTACCAAAAACACAATGCCGTCAATAAAGTTTTTGTTTCTCTTAAAAAATTAAAAGGAATTGTTTTCAAAGAAATCAGTATCAAATTTCAGGTAAAAGACGAGGCGATGATTTTCTGATAAGATAAGCAGAAAACTGTTTTGTCAAGTGATAATTTCTTTTCAAAATCTTGAGTAACTTTGTTTTTTGACTGTGGTAAACCTGACAGTTAAATGATAAACTTCTTTGTTTCAATTTTTCAAGATTTTAGATGATAATTTTTGTCTCCTTCCATGCAATGTGGCTTGGGAAAGAAACCCCCTTTTATGAACAAAGATTTTTGCAACAAGTGTTTTATGTATTTTTAAGATTATTAACTTCTTGTTTACTTGTACAAAAATTTAAGCATTATATTTTCTTACTATTAAAATTAACATATTTATTTTTTTTTTTTATTTCAACATTCTTATAGGACAGCTTTTTCATTTGCCTACAAATTACAAGGTTAGTTACCCCAATAAAATAAAACCTTGTCCCTATAAAAAAGAAATTTTGTAAAAAAAAAAAAAAAAAAAGCAAGAACCCCCCTAGTTTTACTAGGCCTTTGTGTTGATCTACCGATTGGAACACCATTCTCTTAATAAAGTCTCGCTTTTAAAAACCAAGCTTTGTTTCTGTCTGAGTGTTTGAAAATTTAAATTTAAACAAAACTGAATGTCAGCAGAAGTGGAAACTTTAGAAAACTACAATATCAGACAGTTGTGACCAAACACAAAGACCAAGATTACATAAAGAGATAGGCTGTGGGGGTCAAATGCTCCTTTGTCCCCCATTTCACTGCAATCTTTGGAGGGATCTTAAAGTAAATGGGACACTGATTCACACGTTGTGATCTCTTAACAGGATAACTGGTGTGATTTCAAAAATAAAATGGTTAAAAACTTGTACCTTTTTCTTATTTAATATTGACATTAAAAATATCTAATCAAGGATTTAAAGTGATATTGTTTTGCATCCTAATATGTTTATTTCAAAAGTATCTCTTCAAAATTATTATTAGTTTTCCTGTTACAATATGTAAATAATTCAAACTATAAAATGCTCTGTTTGCTTCTTAGTATGGAAATAGGCATTGCAATGTTTGTAAAAAAAAAAAATGCATAATCCGAGTGGGTAACTTGTAATTTTTTTTCGGCAATAGCTGAAACCATCTTTCCCATACAAACAAATTTTATTGCTAGTATTCATGTCTGTATAAATAGTCCTATAATGTTACATATAAGTCATAACTTAAAAGCAGGTGCTCCTGACACTTATCTGTAATAAGCTTACCGGATGTCCTGTCATCTTCTCCATCAGTTGCTGTTTGGTGAATGTATTATCGCTGTCCTTGGAGAAACTGACCCGTGGTCTGGGCTTGTCCCCCTGGGTCACATTCACTTGGTAGGCTGGGGGTCTGTCGTAGAGGGTGGAGGTAGGAGAACGGGACGCCAGGAACGGAGGTGCGTTTTCCTTCATTTTGTCCTCGTTCTTACGTCGGAGCATGCAGATGACAGCAATGAGTGCCACAGACACCACAATGGTGACACACACCACGATGACAACAATCAGAATATTTTTGTCTGAGTCATCCTGGTTAGGTTTGAGACCAGCGGTGGCATTCATGTACTTGACAATAATGTCGAGATCTCGCCTGGCTTCCAGAGCCTCGTTGCCGTTATCTCGAGCCCGGATCTTCAGGTGAAAGGTGTAGTCCTCAGCCACACCAACAGGCTTTCTATAGTGAAGACTTCCAGTATCATGATTCAGGTAAAACACGTCTCCTTCATTCCCACCATCAATGTAAAACAGAACCTTCCCATTCCCATAACCATTAGAATCCTCATCCAAATCATAGGCCTGAATAGAAGCTATAATGGATTCAAGTGGGGTTGTGTTGGGAATGATAATGGTGTGGTTGTCAGTGCTGGGGAAAATGAAAATTGGAGCATTGTCATTCTTGTCATTGATGTTGACTGTAACATGAGCGGTTCCCGTTAGAGAAGGGTCTCCTTTATCCACAGCGATAACTTGGAAGTCATAGCGGTTCAGCAACTCTCTGTCAAGAGGCTGGTAGGTTTTTATCTCCCCTGAAGACGACACATTGAAAGGAATGGCGGACTTGTTGGCATAGTCCTCCGAAATGGCAAAGATGAATTCTCCATTTTTGCCCTCGTCTTTGTCCACTGCTTGAACAGCTCCTACAAATGAATCTGCTGGTAGATTTTCATTCACAGAAAAGACAAAGTTAGCCTTCAGAAAATTAGGAGGATTGTCGTTAACATCCTCAATATCCAACCAAATGTTAGCTGTTGTATTTTGAGGTGGAGTTCCGTGATCTGTAGCCCGTACAGTGAATGTGATGTGCACAGATTGTTCTCTATCAAAGTCCACATTGGCCGTTACTATCCCTGTATCCCGACCAATGGAGAACCTGTTGTCTGATGGAGGATCAATGAAGTAAGAAATCTGTCCATTCTCTCCAATATCTTTATCAGTGGCCTGAACTTGAATGATCTGCTTCCCTCTGTTATTGTTTTCATCCACTTTGGCATTGTAGTAGAATTCGGAGAACTTGGGTGGATTATCATTGGCATCTAAAACAATCACGGTAAACTGTACCACACTCTCCAGCACTGGAGTTCCCTTGTCTGCACAAGTGATCCTAATGTTATGTGTGCTCTGAGTTTCTCTGTCTAAATAATGCTGCACAATAACTTTGTATCCATCATTTAAACTCTGTAAACCAAAAAATGTGTTGTAGGTACGACAAGTCACTTCTCCATTAGGTCCAGTGTCAGTATCTTCTACATTGATGATGGCAATCGCCTGCTCCAAGATGGCCTCCTCCGAAACGCTCACTGTATTGTTGCCAAGATCAGAAGACAAGAAGTTGATATTTATTTTTGGGGCATTGTTCCCAGAATCCTTTACAGTTACATCAAGTTGTGCTGTGGCATACCTAGGAATATCCCCTTTGTCTGTGGCTTCCACAACTATGTGGTAAACTTTTCCATGTTCATATTTCAAGTTACCAATGACTCTAACAGTACCTGTATCATTTTCAATGGAAAACAAGGATGCAATTTCCTGGAACTGCTCTTGAAACTTTTTGAATCGAAATTCAATTTGACCGTTTTTGCCAGAATCCTTATCACTTGCACGGAAAACATAAAATGGTGTGCTAATAGAGGTATTTTCCTCAAGGGTAACTTCTGCTCGAGATTTTTCGAAAATAGGAGAATTATCATTTTCATCAACCACGTTTATTTCCAGAGTAAAAGTTCCTGTCCTTTGTGGATTTCCACCATCTCTAGCCAGGATGTGATAAACATAAGATTGCTGTCGCTCGTAGTCCAAAGTAATGTTTGTAAAGATGTTACGGGACAAACCCTCTGTGGGTGAGATGATTTCCTCCATTCTGAAATCCATAGATATGGAAGATGCTGGTACAACTTGGATGAACTGGTAAGATTGCACTGAGTTATTGCCACCCTTGTCCAGATCTTGTGCTGGCTCAACTCTATAAACACTCCTGTTAGCAGGGGTAGACTCTGCTAAATTGAGTTGGACACGATTTGGTTCAAATGTGGGACTATGATCATTTACATCGGTAACGTTGACATGAACACTGATTGTACCAAAGTAACTGGAAGCTGAACTAGTCACAATAACATCAAAGTCGAACACGCACTGAATTTTATACTGACACACTTTTACGTTTTCTCTATCAATCACTTGATTCGTGAAGAGTTGACTAGATTCAGCAAGGCGAAATAAAGAAACTATTGGTTCTTCTTTTTTCTTGAGGTTGAATTTGAGATTGGCGAGTGATTCATTTATTTTCTTGGAGAGGCCAGTTTCCTCTTCCAGGCTCCCTATCAGAGTGTTATTTGGTTGATCTTCCATCAGATGGAAGGTTACATCCAAATCCTGGGTGGAAATGAATGTACAGATGCATGTCAATGTAAGCAATGAAAATATGATGCCCTCCATTTTTCTTCTGAGGTATGAAATATAAATGCTGAACTTGAGAAATTATGTGATTTTATGAAAATCTCAAAATTTCTTTTTTCCTCATTTCTGAAGACAGGTCGACCCAATTCAGCATCCGAAAGTTATGAAGGTTATACCTGCAAAGAAAAAGGAAGAGTTACAACAAAATCTGATAAATTCTGTCTTTTCATCTCTAAATGATAGCAACAGATTACAGGTCTGCTTTACCAATTCAAAACAGATTTTCTGCCGAGGATTGTGAATATCATGTTTATCTATACAGAAGATGTTAAATCTAACAGTTGGTCAAGTGCTTCTGATAAAAACCAGGCCCGTTTATAACTAGGTATCTACCAGGTGACAAGTTATATTGAACGAGGCTTGTCAACAAACTCATCTACGAAGGGGGATTACCTCTCACCGAACCAGAGAAACATTACACAGCATGGATATTAAATCTTCCACACGTTCCTGTCAAAAATTTGTCTTTTTGCCTCTTTAGGAGGTACACTTGTGTATCGACTTTCTAACCACCTGGGAAGGGAGTGAAATACAACCAGTCCTGCCTACCAAACTATTACACACTTTCCGGTTTTCAGACCGGATTCACTGATATCCATTTAACTGACTTGAAATACCCACTTCACCAGAACAATTCAAAGTGAAGCAGAAAAACTGTCTCATTACACAAAATCCTCTATCCCCAGAATGTATTACAATTTTTTGCTACATAAGTGCTGAAGAGGTTTGTTCCTGTTTGCGTAAAGAAAGCAAACAAATCATTAGAAAAAAATTGGACTCGGCAGAGTTTTGATCCTTTAATATGACATTGAGAAAAGCAAATAGATGTGAATTTTCATAAGTGGAAATATTAACAAAAAAGTAACCGAACAGAAAATGGATGATTCAAGTTGGCCCTCTGTCAACAACCAAAAATAATTAAAACCCACCCGAGTCATCAACAGCAAATAAAACTATCCCACTTCATCAATGGCTATATATGCTTAATGAATAAATATGAAAGCCTGTCTTCATTAACTGAGCATGTTTTTAATTGTATATATAAAATTATATTGTTCTAAAATATATAAAAATGCTTATGGTACGCAACTGAGATATAATTATACATGTTATGATAAAAATGAATCTTGATTCATCACATTATAATCAACTTCATCAAAACAACATGTCAGATCAAAAATGAGAAAAAACACTTACAAGTATCAATGATATTTGACTCCAAAAACAGTTCCATTATGAAATTAGTTTTAAGATTGAAGACACTGCTTTCCTTGCTGTATTCTGCCATGTTTTGGCAGTGGTGGACTATTTACTGGGGGTCTATGTTAAGTTAAATGTAGTGCTACTCATCGCTAGGCTGGCCATGAATTAAAGGAGAGCATGACACCTCTGATAAAAAATTAACAGTGCATTCATCCCTAATGATCACAAACAAGAGACAAAGTACACTACAAAGAATTGTTGATAGCTCTTTAAATGTTCACTCAAATGTTGTAAACATTTTTTTTTCTTTTTAAATCTATTTTTAATTCATATATGAATTTTTTTTTTATTAAATATTTATTGTATTACCCTGTACATGTATTTCAAAAATATAAATTTTTATCACGTTTTTTTGATTGAAAATAATCATGTAAAAATTATTTTTAACGATTTATTCCTCTTCTAAATATCAAAAAGTTTTTTTTGTTTTTGCTCTTTTTTTGGGTATGTTTTTAAGTTTGTTGAAAAAAAAATCATTTACAATGACCCTAAAAAATTTTTATACATAAAGATGATCATCCTATTTAAAAAAAATAAATTACATGCCCCCTTTTCATTTTTTCTGCACATTTATTTTCATTGAATAAATTATAAAATAAAACTTCCTCTTAACAGTTAAAAGTTAAACAAACTTGTCGTCGATACTTGAATTGTGTAAATTTTGTACTGGGATAGGAACACGAACTAGCACTTGAAGACCAATCAGACAAACCCAGTATACTGAGCCTCCACTATTTCCCCGTATTTCAATGCTTCATTGGAAAAGAAATGATAAGAAATTAATGTGGAAACAAAACAAAGAATCAATAGATATCTGTGCAATTCTTTGTCGTCAAGGAACAGGTCTTCTTCAAGCTAATGAATTTTTATGTTTCATTGCAAATAAAAAAAAACTTCTTTTTTGGTCCCTTTAATTTTGTATAATGCGTATTTCTTTAAAACTTCTGAGAATAAAAATTTGAATTACAGGTTCTTTTTCAAGAACAATATTTATTTTAAAAAAAGCTTTGCTTAAATACTTCTGGTCATACGCAACTTTTTAAACAAAATGTTGTGTTTAAACTTATAAAGCAAAAGCCATATTTAATTCAGAAAAAATAATGTAGCGTAAAATGACAGAAAACGACGCAGGACGACTTTCCCTGACAGATCACAATCGCTGCGCTCTACTGAAACCAGGGCAAGAACTATTTTGAAATTGGAGACATACACATATTAATTCAAAAATCAGCACACTCATAGAGAGTACTTGAAACTCTCAGACCCCCCTGTTTTGAAATCAAAATCAATATTTGTCAAGACTGTATACTAAATCTGTCAAATGTGACAACTTCTAGCCTTTATGTACACCAAGTGAAGAAGTTTCTACAAAGTCATAGCCCATATTGCTATCAAAACTTTCTAGAAAAATTATCTTAAGGCTATTGAACATTTTGATTTTTTATATTTATATTTTTCTTCTTGTTCTTTCAAAAGCTTATTAAGTCAAGAAGAGAAATAATTATTAATTAATAAACAAAAATTAAAAAAAATAAAACACATAGATAAAAAAAACAAACTTATAATTTAAATTGCTATTTTGAACAGTTGAATAATTATGAAACCTGATTTCATATTAAATGTTACATGATGGTACAAGTAATTTCTCCAGTATAAAAATAGAAACAATTTATTAAAATGATTTCATACATTAATAGGTGTAAAAAGAAATAAATAAAACTAAAAAAATTATTGTGTTAAGAAAATTGAATAATTTAAATAATTTATCTCCCTGAATTATAAGATAAGCCTACCTCTTAGTCAAGTTAAGATCCAGGAGAATTTTGGACCACTTAAGTTGTCTCGGTCGCGAAGAATGACTTTTGTGCTAGGATGCCCACTGATGTTATCCTAGCCGTAATCAGTTAACACTTTTCTATGCCATCCTTAGATAAACTAGAACAAAAGCCCCACTATCTGATGACGATTTGACCCATCCCCCATTTAGTCCTCCTGGGCCGTTTTAGTAGTTTCTGACCTGTAACAGTTCTGCTCTGTCCACCCCATATAGTAAGATTATCAAATGCACAGCAGACAGTGTAGCATTTCTAAAGCACTGATACTGGGGAAAAACAAGTTTGTAATTGGGGCTCCCTTAGGATTTTAAATTTCCATAACCTTTTTTTAGCTTCTTTTTAAAATACTGGAAAGCATAGAAATATGTCATAATGAAAATTATATTTTCCTGACACTGAATCAAAATTTTGTCGTAGTACTTCTAGAAGAGGACTTGCAATATTTGAAAGATTTTCTTAAATATAGTTTTTAACATCCCTTAAAACTCCTCTATAGAACAAAGAAAACTGCATTTATTGTTTTTCTCAAAATATAAAGAATAAGATATGATAGTCAATGTTTATCAGTTTTGAAAATCTTCACCAATAATATATCATGTTTCTATAATGTGGCGACAAGCATTTCAAAAGAGGTAGTACAGATACCAACATTTCTTTTGTTTAGAAGAGTGTTACATTATTACAATTTTTTAACTTGCTGAAAAGAAGCAAAGAGGACACATGCATCTTTTGAGTCTATCACAAAAATCAAATGACTCAGAACAAAGAAGTGCTGAAGGCTCGACAAGGTGTTAACATGACTCCGACCAAAGACAACAAAAAAGGCAGCAGCTTGCTTACGTATTATTTATTTTTAAGAATTACACCTCAGACCAAAACAATTACACAGCCCTTGGAAGTCATTTCTAGTGTTAAACAAATTAATGATTTTGTACTAACAGTCTATTAAAAAAAATTGTCAATTTGCTCATTCTGGCCATAAAAATACTGGCACTCAATGTTGATGCATTCAGAACATTTTACGATCATGACCCACAGCACCAATTCATGCGTTTGAAAAAAATATATATTAATAAATGAAGAAAAAAAAGAATACTTAATACAGAAAAGCAACATGTGACACCTACTTGTTGATTTCTTAATTTTGCTGGACAGCACCCGTTTAACTTTTTGACATGACCATTATAGCTCATCCATAAATGGGTATGGTCGTTCTAATGTTACAGACAATTTTTCCTCATGCCTGATTTAAATTATCCAAATTATACGTTATAATCCTGTCACTCCTTTTATTTCCTGGCTTCATCACTGCTTAAACCTAAGTCTTAGATTGTCATGCTTTGGGGGGAAAAACCATTTCCTTTCAAATCCTCCAATGACCCATGCATGAAGATGACATTATGTTTTAACGAGTCAGTAACTTTTTACTGGACACTGAGTTCAGACATTGATCAAAACGTGTTTTGCACAGTTCATAAAAAAAAAGAATTTTCTCAGGAGAGTTAATGTTTTTCTCTTTATCCTCTTAAATACATCTGGTTTATTAATATGGTCCCGATCTTAAAATACCTCCTATTACTAATTAGTAATCAAATGCATGGAAATCTGTCTCCAATCACAGAGAAGAAAAAAAGTAATATAGCTGCACGAGCAATACTTTAAAAAATAAATCCTGTTTTTGAAATTTAACTTTTACATTGGTTTAATGGCAGAAACAATGCAATGTTGCCAACAAAACAACTGATTTCAAACAAGATTTAGATTATACTGTTAAACTCTCTAAAACCCTTAATCTATCTTTTTCATTAATCCCATTACTTAAGTGGAACAAAACTAATTTCTTAGTGAAGAAGATTATCTATGTAACTGGACTTATACTTTGAGAGTTTTCTATGGGGGTGAGAAATTTTTATTCTTACTACCGAAAGAGATTTGTGTTTTTATTCCTCGTCCGAGTGAAAGTATTAAAACTAAGTGCTAGTTAACTGTCAATTAAGGACAGATTAGAAATATGTCAGGAAGATTATATATTTATATACAGTAGATGTCAACACTTCCATGTGACAAGCCCAGGACAATGAGTGAAATTTATAATAAAACAACTGCTTAATTTGTGATTTACTCCTTAAAATGAATTTACAAAAAATTATTTGAATAAACATATTTTATCTCCTAAATTTATTTTAAAAAAAACAAAACAAATAATTTAGGATTTTGTAAAATCTATTATTCCATTTTTAGGCAAAAGAAAATTAATTTTATAATAATTTTCTAAATGTCTTTTTTTTTTTTAAACTTTAAATTGCGAGAATTTATAGGCATATATAAAACCTATTATCCTGATAAAAAATTGAACTTTACAATAATGAAGCTCATATTACAACTGTTAGAAATACAATATGACAGAAGAGGGCACCACTCTCTGAATGGGACTTCTCAAGTGTCCCAGCCATGGCACCATACTGCACCAGGCCTCAATAAATAAACAAAGACGTACTAAACAAATGATATTCTGTCTAGATAAAAAGTTTTTTTCCACATTGCTAAATTGATTTTCTGCTAGAAAATCAAATTACAAACACAACATAACATTTACAGAGAAAATATTGGTTTTCAGGTATAGTGCAGTTTATTGCATATAAAAACTAATTAATAGTAAAACAAGAATTCGGGGTGAATGTTGATTGGTTGAAATTATTTATATAATCAGCATCTCAACTATTTTACATATTCAACATATTCAAAGTGCCATGAATCATTTATTAACCCCTCCCATTTCCCATATGGTGTGAAAGATAAAGATTACCATCTATGATGGGAAAAAAAACCTCTGCAAAGCAACTGCATGACTGTATTATTCCTGATGTTGACAAGAATTATTGATCCCTGCGTCACCAACTTCATCAAATAGTACAAGGTTTTTGTCTAGCTTTTACACATCACTGACTTTTATAAGATCTATTAAGCTCAAATTTCTCTCTGAAAGTTCTACAAGAAACCCACTTTGACCAGTTCCTTCAAGTTCAGAATGGAACTCCTAAGATTCCAAGTTATACAGAGAATTGGATATGAAGCCCATTATCTATTGTACCACTGTGGCATCTTGATCTCTAAATCTCCCAGTGTACCTACCCAGGTATCACATGACCAAACAGATGACCCAAATATAGCACAAAATTCCACTATATTCATGAGAAAATCATCTCCAGAAATTCTCTTTTTCCAAATCATTCAGATTAATTTTCTAAAAAAGTAGTTACGACAGGGTAAGTAAATGCATATGGTTTGCTATATAAACTAAATGCATGTAGTTTACTTACCAGCCAGGTATTATATAGTTGGATAAGGATGGGGTATAAATTTAAAATAGATTCAGACATGCTAACTACCGAAGAGTGAGGTATAAAACTGTCTGGTATAAAGTCCTCACAATGAATAAGGGTATTTAGTCCCCATAAACTACAGCTACTAGTGATAAGACATTTACAGGCTTCCAGCATAGCTACTGTTTCACAATTACAGTGTCTGACAAAAAGTGGTTATCTCTGGATAAATTATAAATAAAGCATAAAAATTAATTAAAAATATGAAGTGTACCTATGTATATTGACCTAATTTAAACCTAGGGCTTAGTACGTACCTTGCCTTAGAAATTCCATTATGCTAATTGATAAGTACATGTGTAGGTAATTAGCTAAGTTGCCACATAAATTAACAGGCCTCAATGTTTCCACATGTTGCAAGATGAATGTGTAAGTTCAACAATGATCCAGTGACAGTTGCCAGTCAAATTTTTATAAATGAAAACACTATCAGCTACCAGTCATTATTTCAATGGTACCTAATCAGCTGTTAGGTAATACTTAATCTACTTTCACTTAATCTCAGTTAAGAAAAGTTCCCATCAAAATCGGGGTGATTTGCGTGTTTGTTGAGGGGCTTTGTGGTGTATTAACATGATGGGTCTTTGAGACCGCCCAGTTTGTGAAGTATTCATAGAAAATTAGTATATCGGTAACTGTGCAAATGTAATTTTGGGAGTTTAGATAACATTTTAAAAGGTTTGATCGATATGAGAAAATATAAACAAAAATGATTGACAGACATTAAAGTTGATCTCTACCAATATATACAAATTTTATTTATTTATTTTTTTTTTTTTTTAAATGAGTTACTGATGAGGAAAAAATATAATTACTTTTGAAGATATTTCTTTTTAATAAAAACTAAAATCTGTCAAAACTTGATGCCTCATTCACATTTATTAATGATATTCAAACAAATTAAGAGATTAAAATAACTAATTTCTAAAAGATATTAAAAAAAGAATATACCTGATTATAAGTCCTTTTAATCCTCAAAACAAGCATTTACAAATTTCCAAATTATTGTGCATCCTAAATTTCATAATCCATTACCCATTAACATTGTGACAATATATAATTGCTGTTCCCATAATTATAGGCTTATGTTTCCACAACTTTAACTTCTTTTTAAAAGTTAAACCAACTGAGAAAAAAGAAAGCTACCAGAAAATTGTTGAAAATTTATACCTTGTCTGCCCTTAATTTGGACAGGTGTCTGTTGCCACTACTTTCTCTAGCAAGGTGTTATGATTGAGACAATTAAAAATTAAAAAACAATGACTTGAAAATGTCATCTACCCAATTAAATAGTCAGTCATATGTACATAATTAAAACTGAAATATTTGGCAGATGAGCAATTATCTTTTGTAAAGGTTAAATAAATAAAATTTTCTGAAATTAAAAAACAAACAAACCAAAAAAAAAAAATGCTAAGAAAACCATTTTTAGTCAGCATATACTATTTTTATATTTTATAATGAAAAGAAAAAGCAAAATGATAAATGTATCAATGCTGACAAATATTTTCTTTTTTGAATTCTAATAAAACAATTAAATAACCATGGCATATTACAAATCGTTCTTTCCCTACTTTCTTTTTTTTTTATTAAAAAAAATGCCTTGCTTGCAATTTGATGCAAATTAAGCCAATTAATTTAACTAACCTGACTTTTAGATCTTGAAAATTCCTACAGTGAATGTCTATACCCCTAGAGCCATAATATATAAGGATAACCCTGTGCCTTGTGAATTACTTTCTGAATATCACCCTAGGAATTATCCCCCTTGAATTTAAGGTGGAAGCTTCCCTTACAAGCTGTTGTAGGCCATGCTGTGCTGTGTAACAGTTCCTATTGATGATCACTGCAATAGAGCTCCCCCATGTTTGTTTGTTTTCTATTCCAAATTTAATCCATTCATTATCAACCTTTGATCTCCACTCTGCAATCTATCCATGTGCTTGGTCATTCCATAATAACTAACTTTCAAAATTACCTATGCAATTAATGATCTGGTAGCTGAATATCTAAGTAGCCAACCTTTGTGAATAATCTTAATTGAGTAATGATGGTCAAGATTAGAGATCAGGTCATGTTGTTTGTGATCCAAAGGACCACATCTAAACAATGGCTAGGTTACGCAGTCCTGGTAAATATTTGTAGAATCAGTACAAAGAAATGTTGACACAAGCTTTCTCTTCTATTTGCCTACATTATAACAACTTTGGGTTTTGGCCTGAAGGTGAGTAAGAAATCCAACAAGCCTCGGTCTACTAATCAACAAACATACAACAGGGTACCAGTATAAACAGTGTCCCCATCACCTTAACGAAGAGTTCTAAAGCCACCCGCAACACCAAAGGGTCGGGCACCAGGGTTACAAACACCAGCTAAAATCTGGGAGTATAGAAGGAGATTACAAAGAATTGTTGCAATTTTTTTTTACACAGTAACGTTAAGTCTTTGATGGTTCTGTTTGCAGTTCTTCCTTTAAATCTTAAGACAAATTTGAGAAGCTGAGTGACTTTCTTCCTATCAAACACAGCATTTGTCTCTCTCTCAAAGGATTGTTTATTTTTGAATCATGAGAAATTTACTTTGAGATTTTTACACCCTACATCAAGGATTTTAATGACCATTTTCACTGGTTAGAAATGGGAAAATTAAATTAAAACTGGTCAATTAACCACTTCATCTAAGATGAGAAAAAAAAGATAAAAGCTTATCCAAAGATATAATTCATTATCTGGGTATTTAGCGTGTCCAAATTTAAGATAGAAAATATCTAAAAAATGCAATGTGTATACACTTTAAACTCATGATAAATTGTCACTCATAATTTCATATTTCTCTGTAACAAAATGGAAGCCTTAAAATAATTTACAAACCTGACAAGGAGTAGAAATGAGTGCTGACAATTTTTCTTGCATGCAGCTAATTTTGTCAGGAGGAATCAATCTTGTCCTGTTGTGTGTCAGGGTCTGTCAGTAGATGTGGCACATGTGTGGCTACCTGAAAAATGGAGACAGCCTCATTTTAACCCATACCCACTCATGCTACGAAAATTAAGGACAGGAAAAATCTGACACATATTATTAACGATGGAAGCAATAAAAATGAAAACATGGGAAACTGTCATGTCTTTTGCACATGAGTTGTTCATGGTCTTAATTTTTTTAATGTAAATTAGCTAAAATCAAGTTCCCAACATTTCCGCAATATAAACCTTTTAAAGCTTCTTCTTTTAGAAGTGTAATGGTCTCTCGACATAATATTGTTTTAAACCTTTCTTGTACAAAGTTAATCTAATTCAATACTTTTCTAAAGGATATATCCAAGTTTTTACAACCCTTTGAATAGACATACTTAATGTACCAGATTTATTTATCAGTTTTACTTATCTTTTTATATATTTATTATTTCCTAACTAAGGACAAAATAGTAAAAATATGAGCTGACATTTTAATACAAATGAATGAAATGGGATTTATTAATGTCCAGTGTGTATAAAAATACTTAGTTTTATAGCCAGGGCCTGTTACTGAAATAAAATAAGGAATCAACAGCATTATTTACACCATTCATTAATCTCAAACTAAAATTTTAACTAACAAGCTACACTTGTAGCACTGTTCATGCATTTCCTTACTTTAGAATTATAAGTACGATGAAGTTATTGAATTTAAGAAACTCCACAAACAAATCGATTTATATGTAATATTTTTTTCATTTCAATATTTAATTGTTAAATATTCAATCATTTAATTGTCATGAAAAAATACACAATCCACCAGAAGTCAAAAGCCACAGGAAACTCTTATTTAAAACTTCCAAAGGTACATATTGTACTTACTAAAAAAAGAAAGCAACATAAAATCCCATTAGTTTAACACTTCCACATTATTTGTAATATACAACCATGGAAGCTCGTAAATTCCTTGTCATATAGCCCTTGAAACATAGTGGGACTTGACCCAACATCATTCGCTGGTGACATTAGGAACACCTTTTGATCTTACCTAGGCCTGAGTTCACCCTGCCTTAACTATCACCAACATATTTGACTACTCATTTGTTTTACACAAACTTAGCGGTCATTTGAGACAGCCCTAAGGTCAACTTTTGCTGGCCACTCAGAACTGGACTTCATTGTTCATTCTACACAATGCAGTAATTGTTTCAAAGAAACTGTCAGAATCACTTATTTACAGGTAATTCAATTTTCTCCAAAATAGTACAAAATAAGGTAATTTTTCAAGAAAGGGTTTGAAGAAAGGCCAAAAAACTGTCCTGATGCTCAGGGACAAATAAGAGGATAGGATGACATGGTGGTAATGGTCTATTTATTGTTCCTGGTCAGTGAGAGCCCCACTGCAGGGGAGATAACTATAATTACAACATTTGTATTGTGGTCGGGGAGATGTGAGGGCCAGTGGTGTAATGTAATGGGTAGGTGTCCAGAAAACACCACAGAACAAAGTCAACGAGATTAAAATCAGATAAAAACAGGCCATTTTACACGTTTCCACCAGCGAAAATTACACAGAAACATACAGTTATTGATGTCAAGGACTCGTCCACTGATGTTTATACCACCCCAAAAATTCATCTCTATCTTAAAAAGATAAAAAATTTATTAATTTTTTTCTCAAACTGATGAAACTGTAATCAAATACAAATAATTATACTAAATTTTAACCTTTCCTCATGTTAAAAGCACATGAATATATTTCTTTTAAAAATCTGCCAAATGGGTACGTGGTACAGTGCTAAAACACAATTATGATTTGACTGAATGGACTTCCCATGAAGCGAAGTTTTTGGTCATTCAGCAAACATAAAAGTTAACAGAAACGGTAAATAGCTTCTACAAATCTACCCATTTCTCCTATTGACACACTGTCAAAACACTGATAGGTATCTTAATTAAGACATCCACCATCCTTTGATATTTTTTTTTCTTTCTTTATTGGTCTTGATCTTTAAACTACAAGTTTGTAGTTGAAAATTCCCTTTTACTGATTCAAAAAAAATTACTTGTAATGAAATCTTTATCACTGTATTTTAATAGCTATTTATTATGTATCCTTCGACAAATTTCATTAAAAAAATTTGACAGTAAATTTCATATATTTTTTCTCTATATGTTTTAACAGAATCATTTTCTTTTTTCCATTTTCCCTTTTAAAGAATTAAAAAAAAATATCTTTCCAAATCCTTCTACAGTCCTTGAGTTATCAGATAACCCCTATAAGTTCTTGAGAAACTACTGAGGATAAGTGTTTTATGGGTTTAAATCTGTGGTCTGTTTTTGTGGCATTACATATACTCATGTAATACATGGCTAGCCACCGGACTCAATTGCGACTAGATAACAGGTTTTACTTTGTCAAAATATTTAACTCATGATGAGTGAAGAATTCTATAAGTCAAACAACAAATTAACTTGGGTATTCAAATATTTTTTGAAAAGATTTTTGATTAAATCCACTAGTCCTACCTGAGTAAATCACTGAAATCAAGTGGCATCATCTCAATACACCACCTTAGAAAAAGAACTTAGATTAATAGAAGATAATTCCTTGCCTTGTTGTTAAATAATCACTGTAAATTGATTTTAATATTTTTCATTAATTTCATAAAAGACCTTCATTCATCATCAAATAGACCAGTCTGAAGTTGAGCTGATTAGTTTTCTTCTGAAAACCACCAAAGATCAAAAGTTAGAAATATCCATATATGTTTCAAGAATGTTTGCCTAATCTAATACCCAGTATCTCGCAGTTATGAAACTATAGAAATCCTGGACAATAATTGAAGTATCTTGCAATGTCAAATGAAGAGACACATGAATGGAGACATTGTATTTGGTTCATCATATCCCCGTTAATGAAAACCCAAACTAATTCTTTTCTGTAAAATTCCAATCTGAAGTGTTGATATAATCCTTAAAATATTGCACCTGGGTTGTTGAAGAAGAAGAAAAAGTCTTGTTTCACATTTCAATGAAGACATGTCAAAATGAAAATGATGAGTAAACCAAATATCCAGAGAATACAAGTAAACACGCAGGCCTTCTTCAGAAAATGAATCCGTACAACTCCCTTCTAATTGTGCAATGATCTCGCTCACTCTACAGAAAAAAAAACCCTCATTGAACCTTGAAGAGCCAATGTTACTGCTATTATTCACTTCATTTTTCCCTCTCTTGAATAAGAAAAGACATCCTAGTAGTTTATAATATCCTTTTTGGCTTAGGAGGGCAAACTAATTAAAAATTTAATTAAAAGGACATAAAAACTTCATTATAGCGGACTTCTTACATGGTAAACAGAAAAGTGCGATCCAACAAAAATCTCAGACTCCACCAAATGACATAACAATTAAATATCCAGAACAAAAAATTCTGTAATATTTCACACTGAGCAGCAAATATATACTCATTCTCTTAAAACCTCTGAGATCTAAAAGACATTATCAATTTTTCTGACACAAAATTTATTTCTTTTATCAAGCGAAATAAGATGACTTACCCCTTAAATTAAAAACCACAAGATGAAATTATTGTAATCCGACAATCCATTTAAATACAATTTTTGACATTTAACAAATAAGGCAGCAGAAAACATGACATGGAATACTTGTAGAGCGGAGAGATAGAGGAACGAAGGTATAGACCAAAGTTTATTATCTCAGGCTTATTTCTCATCAGAAATGATCAATTTCATATCTCAACTCATCTCGCCATTGATTTTTAAAGTGAAAGACTTCTGATCCAATGAAAAGAGCTTATGACAGGTGCATTGAGTTTAGTTCTATGAACTTCGTCCAGTTAATTATACGGCGTCCACCTTTCTGGATACATTTTGTTCGATGTTTAGCAAGCACAAATATTGATGAAGAAGGCATTTTTTGAGGCCTATTGTGTCACAGTTCTGAATATTTACACAATCCTTGCCTGAAATGAACAACAATAAACAAAGAACGAAATCAATGGGACAGTGTTGACAAAGTTCAGTTTATTTAGACCCTAAATTCTAAATGACCACTGTAAACTAAACGTTTAGTTAAATGCATGTGGATTTTTCTCAGACCTTAATTCAAATGAAAATATAATGAGTGCTTTTCAAATAATAGAATTCATGTCTGACAAACAAGCAGGTGGCAATTTTGTCTAATGATGAAGTAAACATACAGTTTTGTATTCTATATACATGTATCTTTAAGGTAGATGGCCTTTTATATATTGATCAAATGTATACTTATATATTTCAAATGATGATAATGAAAAGATTCCCTAAGGCAGTAAGTAAAATGATATTGTTAACTTAATGAAACAACTCCGCAATTAAATTTATTAGCACACTCCTTGAGAAATGGTAACTTTTTTTTTGTATTCATAGATAGAAAATATCGGAAAAAATATACTTTTTAAAAAATCCAACCTTTAATTTTCCCAGTGACTAATGAAAAAGGTCAAATATTAATCTAAAATGAAGAATAAATTGTTTATCAAATTTGATTGTAAAATTTATGACAGAAGGTGATAAATTCACCAATAGTCCAGTGATAAATCATTGTTATAGTAACTATATAAAATATTTAATAACAAATATTCCATATCAAAAAAATATCAAAGTGTTGACTCACCACCCCGTTTATACGATTCCTAATAAAACTGTCTTCGTAAAAAATGCAAATCGTGTTGGAATAAAACTAGGACTTCCATTTCTATGCCAGCTTATCATAAGGAAAAATCAATTTCAAATCGGAAAAATGATGTCAACGTCTGTCAAACATTCAGACATTTAAAAAAGAGTTAAGTTTTGCAATAGGCCTAATTATAGGGTAATTTTCCATTTGATATTGTGGATATCAAACTTCACATCAGTGCAGTGGACAAAACTTACTTTATGAAGTTAAAGGTATAGCCTTCTAAACATTTCAATACATCAGTGATCCACAAAAACTGTCAACACACGCAAATCAAAATAAGAAACTGCGATAAGAGTTTGATAAAATCAAATCAGTTGGCTTTTTTTATTGACATGTTTTCAGTAATTTTTCTATTTACCTTACCTTCTGGCAATACAGAATATTCCAAGTAATTCAATGGAGAAAATGAAAATCCAAATTTCAGATAATACTCAAGTGCAAAGTCAAATTGCAATATATCTGTAGATGCTGTATTAATAATATTTGTCCAATCCTGTACTTCACAGCTGCAGGTACATGTATGTCAACTTAGTTAATTTAACTCAGCAATACACTGTTTTAACACACTTTTCATCAATTAATGAGCAAGTATAATTCATTTCCCTGTAAAATGTTTACGTTCTTTCCACACTGACAACAATACATGATAGTAATAGGAATTACAATTTACTCTCTCTCCGACATTTGAATTGTCATCAGAGTGGAATAGGCTCCGCCCCCTTGATACACATCACTTGTTTCCCGCCTAAGGCCGCGGTGAGCTTTTCCCCTTACATTCAGCACTACACTATCAAGAGTCCACCTTTAAAAAAAAAACTTCCAAGTCACCAGGGGGCAGAAACACATCCACTGACCAACAGACATCGAGGCTATCCCTTGGGATCACATGCAACGTACAGGTCAAGCGGTAATAGAGACATTCACTGAGTCGTGGAATGAAACCCTAGGATGACAGAGAGCAATAATAGTATCATTCTTGTCCTGTCAAATTCCTAATCCTCCAATCTAATAGGATTTTTGTTAACAAGACCAATCTAGATTGTGTGGCATCAAACGTCCGTTATAAGCCTTCTTTTTATTGGAGTCAGGGTTTTAATTTGCCTTTCCGACATTCTAAAGTCGCTTCTTCAACTAGAAAAATACAGAATTTAATGTCCTCTTACTTGAAATGCCATGATGAATGTTTGGGACTCAGAAATTCTAGATGACCATCAACATTCAGATGAAGTCTTCAATATTTTACAGCTAGAATACAAGTCAGTCAGGATCTTTGTTTAAAAGTATCCAGCATTATGATAAAAATATCAGTAAACATTTTATCTCTTTAGCTATATAAAACACTATTTTCATCAAACATCGTAAAAGTGGACAATTTTTTTTAGATGAATTTACAAATACAGTGTAGCTACATGTACATGCATGCAAACAAGTGGCATCCCCCCTCTATCTTACAGACTCATGCACAGAAAAATCCATCTTGTCACCAAAGAAGCTATTTAACCAGTCAGTCAGCTGTGTAATTGGTGGGTATTAAAATATATCAGATTATGTTCTTAAATGTTGCCTCATAAATATCACTATTTTATAGAAACAGATTATCAACATTTCCCCTCTTCTTACATAAATCAACAAATTTGTTATTTCCCCATGAAATCAAGACATATTACTCCTAGATCATACAGGCTCCAAAAAGGCTATTAACTGGTGCAGTCAAAATTAAAATGATACATGTATAACTCAGAAAGTACAGATGTCCCTTGAGAAGCATGTACCTATATATGCATATTTCGATCTTTATATTTCGTAGGAAAAGAAAAGATTTGCTTGCCAAAAATTAATAAAGGATAGAAAAAAAATAAAGAATATATAGAAATAAATTTTTGAATTAATTGCAATTGATAGAGTGTCTCTGATTTTGTTACACCTCTTTAAGTGAGAGATTTTCCTAGATAATCTGACATTTCTCAAATTTTTATCAGTGATAAAACTTTTAACATGAAAGAAAAAAATTACATGATTATGTACACCCAGTTATACAATCAAAACAATGGCATTTAAAATGACCTGCTGCTACAATATGTCAACAATAAACATCTTCTTTGTAGAACACATTAAAAAGTCTTAAATTATGTAATGATTCTGATAAAAGATCTTCTTTACTTACATCCACAGTAAAAATTTTATTGATCAGGGGACATTTAAAATTTTATGAACCCGACAAAATCCAAAGATGAAAAGAAGAACATGCTAAGGGTAGAATTATTTCCCTTGGACAAGGGTAGATAACCATCTACAAGTCTGTAAAAGGAAAGGCCTATTCAATGAAAGATAAGTAAGGACTAGAACTTATAAAGACAAATCAACCCAGAGAAACCAAGGCTACATTAAAACACTTCTCAGACAAAATGATTGATTTTGATCAATTCTTAGTCTTTTCATGCAATATTACAGTAATGAGACATGAAACACAGGCTTTTCCTGCTGGTGTTATTGGTTTCTGAATGGTTACAAGCAAACTGAAGCTGAGTTGTGCCTTAACATGCTCACAAATTGAGAACTGGGCAAATAATGTCGTCTGAATGAGGCCTTTTTATGTGCAGGTAATGTGTGGTATAAAACCAGGTGGGGCAATCAAGACATTGCATGATATGCAGACCTCAGCTTAGCCTCAGTTTCCCTCAATATTACATTTTTAACAATGTCTAATGAAATCAATTTCTCACTAACACATTTTTTACACCATCGTTTAAGTATTTCTTAATCTAAAGACCTTCTAGTTGAAACCAGTAAAAAGAATTAAAAGGGCTGAAAAAAGCAGGCATAATGAATTTTAAGTGAGCTTCCTTTAAATACCATTTCATATTTCAATTTCACAACTCAGTACATATAGTCTGACAAAATCAAGCTAAATGAGCAAATGTTTAACAATACAAAGAAAGGGGGAGTTTCTGTAAAAATATCTGCAAATAAAAGAACAATATTCCCCAAAAACTAGCTGGAGAGAGACTTCCACAAATGCTCTACCCAAGGTAACCTGGTTCATTTTATTATGGAGTGTCGACACAAGATACTTGCACCTCAGTGGATACCACTTCTCTTTCATTTTCAAACTATGACACATCTTTACAGTGTATTTTTAATTGGGAGAAATTTAAATTAAAGTAATGAAGAATGACAACTAATTAGAACCAAGTCAGGTTTAATTTGAATTTTCCCCAATCAAACTGTTCAAAGTTTTCTTCGGTTATGAAAGGAATGGAAAACACAGGATAATCCTGCTATCAAATGTTCTTTTATTTTTCGTTTCCATGATTTTTTTTTCTAATGATATAAAGTTATTCAATGAAAATTTTGCATCATTTGCATGTCATTCATATTTTCTTAATGTGAGGGTAGTTTCTATCTCACATGGCTTAATATTTTCTAGTCGAAATTCTTTAAAATCAGGCAATATAAACCATTCATTGCTCTGTTACTTTTACCATTTTGTCCATCAATATATTAATGTAACCATACAACCAATTAATACAGAATCCAGGTATCTCCCTATGGAGCCATACTTCTAACTGTCCAACAGCTATCATTCAGAATCGCCCCTAGTAATGGCCATCAAGAAAATAGAGATATCCCTAGTTATTGTAATGTAGAACCAAGACCAGCTGATCATAATGTCAATATGCAATCAGGGTAATGTGTTTGACACAGCAACTAAGGACATTTAGTCTCTGGTAGACAAATAGACATATCGACATTAGTCACACTAGACAGGACTGCTAAATAGTCCATTCACAGCTAAGTCTTGTGTTAGGTGCTTATATGTGTGGTGCTACTCTGCACTTTTACTCTAAAAAAAATAACTATAAATATTGACAGAGGAATGAAGTACTCAGAAATTACTTTACATGTGTAAAATTTTAGCATTTTTCACTTTTATAAATTCTTTTTTTTTAAGTCTAACTTTATCTACCCAGTTTAAAAATGTTCAATATCATACTGTACTATTTGTTTAGGACTTGTACAATACATGTACCATATATCATCCAAAACTGAAAAGAGTGTTGAGGCAGATGTTACTATAGCCAATAAAACAATACAGCAGCATAAAAATAGCATAGACAGAAAATATAAAGTTACACAGAATAACGTAAAAGACAATAATATTTATCTTAAAGTGTCAAATTAGAAAGGTTATGCAGGTAAAATGTATTGAAGTGTTGCAATTACAGAGTTGTATCAATTGAAACAATATAGAAAGTATAAAATACAGTCTGAATTAGCTATTAAACAAAAAGTCTTAAAAGTAGCTTATACATAAAATCTTATTAATAAAATAAATTTTCACCTACCAAATTCTTATAACCTTCATTCCATCCCATTCAAGAAAATAAAATCCTGTTCATTGGTAAAATAAAAATCCAAATCATAAAATCTTGAATTTTGTTCAATAATTGTAAGATTATTGCAACTAAAAACCACCCCACCTGCCTCAGAGTAGAGATTAAGTTCCTTGAACACTTCCTCTTGTCAAGCAGTGATGGGCCATTGTAAAATTGTTCAGTACACCTCTAAGGGACTTTACAACCTCTGGCAAAGCTGGCTTTTATTTGTTACAAATACGTGAAGCTGATCTTAGTTAGATAGCACTGTTTTCAGCACGGTGACACTATGTCAACAATTAAAGAGTTACATTTCCAAAATCAAAAAACGATTATCTTGTTATCAAGGAAAATTCCACATAGAACAATGTTGTTTACAAAATAATTATTATTTTAACAAGTTTTACATGAAAGAGTACAAATGTTTCAATATCAAGTCAGAAATGACACTCTGATTTTGTTTTTTGATGGAATGGAAAGATGATTTGAGGCAGCTATAGATACCTTTAAAATTCACTTTAAAATATTAATTTTTCACCTCCAAAACTGAATTTCATCCTACAAGGATTTAAAATATGTGACACTGGGTTTGAATTGACACCAATTGTTGTGTAACAGACAGAAATTGAAAATTAATGTGAAACAAGACACAATAATATGTTCCTCTCACTCTAACCACTGTAGTAAACACCCAGCTTCATTAATTAACCTAACAAGGGTATACAACAAGATTTAAATTAATGAACCTAACAATGTCATAAGACAGTGGACCAGTGTAAGTGTCCTGTAGATCAATTTATCTATGTATTTCACCAGTGACCAGTGTCCAGCTGATAAAAATCACTACCCTGAGGCTGGTCAAGTTTGACCGAGGCAGAGCTGGAAGAATATACAGGTACATACTGAACTATACAGGCTGCTAATGACTTTGTAGAGTTAGAAATAAAACCTATAATATAGAGCCATTCAGTGCTTAACTTGTGACACCCACAAACCCAATAAATACTCATCATTCACACAGCGAAGAGCACATCCATAAAAGAGAATATATATACAGATGCTTGTGTTACTTCATCAGAAGGTCAAACTGACTAATGGACACCTCCTTGATTTTGACTTTGATATGACAATCTTCTGAAAGCTATAAAGTAAGCACTTCAAACACCCCCTAAAGCAACTCACCTTTAATTTGAGCTTTAAAACACATCATTACAATTCATAACAATACGAATCATTATGGATTTTACTTTGAAACAAAATTGATC